AGCATGTAGATTTCTTAAAGAAAAGGATTCGTAAATACATATATGCTTTTCATCAACTGAGTGTCATTTTGGACGAGGAGGACGTAGAGAGAGCTTATTTCGCTTATGTACAATCCTTGATTTCATTTGGTATTATCTGCTGGGGAGCATGCTATCACACCACCTTGGAACCCTTGAATGTGGTCCAAAGATCAATTTTGAAAGTAGCTTTTAGAAAAAATAAAAGGTACTCCACTGATGCACTATTCCGTAAGACGGGAGTATTAACAGTCAGACATATTTTCATTCAGTTTCTTCTTAGTCACACATTCAAAAACTCAAACACGATTCTTACAGCAGTCACACATCAACACTACACAAGATATTCACATAATGTTGGAATATCTGTCCCTCAGCTACATAAGTCAGTTCTAACTACCAACTGTTTTTATGTTGTTCAGATTCTATATCGAAATCTAATTCAAAAATATAATATTCAACACATTTTTAGTTTACCCTCAATACAGAAATTAAAAAAACAGATGCTTGTTTTACTGCACTACCAATGAAGAGGCCGAAACTTTGATCAGACCTAACCTTACTTGACCCTGACTAAACAATCCTTGACCCTTCGACCCCCTCGCCCTCACAATGTCTCCTGTCTTAGATTGCATTGGCTTTGGTTGTCGTCGCCGACATTCTCTTATCCACTATACGATCAAGTTAAATTAACAAGGCTTAAAAACCTTCCCAATTTTAGTGTGTGCCCTCAATTTGCTTAGACTGATAACAGCCAGGCCCCTACGCACAGGCACCTGCCCATGTAGGCCTATCCCATAAGTAAGGCAAATTTTATTTTATTTTAGAAATATCGTACTGTTAAGTTGTATAGCTACTCTCTGTTTTAGTTTATATTCTTGGGATAAGTAAACGTTTTTCATTTCATTTTTTTTTTTCATTTCATTTCATTTTTCCTATATCCTCAAGACAGTCATGAAAAGGTTCTAGTGTTTTTCCTTTGGTTGAATGACTTGTATCATTGACTATACCTTGTTAATATTCTGAGTGTTAAGCAAGTAAAGTAAACAGCCATCTACTTTTCTTCGAAACAATTTGAGATTGGGTGGCTATAAAAAATAGCAACATTCGCAAGCTTTAATTCTACAAACAAGAATTTAATTCTGTCCGCCCATACGACATGAGGTCATTTAAAAGTAGTCATGGTCATTTGAAAATATAAAGTGTCAATAATTTAAGCCTACCTCAGACAACTAATATTCTAGAACAATACAATCACTCTATAAAATACATCACAGTCGATGGATTTCAATTGTATAGAATTTCAAATGGATAAACATTTTAACAAATTTGTTCATAAGACAATTGTATTACTTACCTCGGGGTATCGTCGAAAACATTTCAAATTCCCTATAACCTTGTGGAGATCGTCGATTTCCTCCTCAGTACGAAGTCGTTGGTCCTTCCGTAAAAGTGACTTGTTCTGTTACAAATTAAAACAATCATGTGTAACTTTACCAGATTAAATAAATACCAGCATAAATGAGTATTGTAATACAATTTTATAGGTTTGAATGCTTGAACCTCCAAAGAATCTTCTAGCCCTTTAATATTTAAGCCTCTTTTAGCGAATTTCCCATATAGGGAATAAGCTATTACCGTAGTACTCATGGTAAGACCTGGACGCGGGACCGATTTTTTTTTTCGTTTTGAGGTCCCTAGAGGCCAAAAACACCATCCGTTCAAATTCATATATATATATATATATATATATATATGTATTTATATATTTATATATATATATATATATATGTGTCCGTCAGCACGATAACTCGAGCAAAAATGATCCGATTTTGATGAAATTTGGTACAAACGTGTAAACGTACGTTTATTCGAACGAGTTCGCGATCCAGCATGATCGGACCATGGGAACGGGGGTTTACGGGGGGTTTTATGGGGTAAAAATAGGTTTTTCCCATTTTTGACCCAAAAAACATAAAATTTAGCAATTTCTTACCAAACCATTTTGTAGAGCTTAAAAAAACAAATAATTTAGTATATTGAAGCGTTATTATGCGCCTAATGGTTACGGAGAAAATTCCAAAAAAATTGTAAATTTAAAATTTCCATGTTATTCTTATGGAGAATAAGTAAACTGTTGTAGTTTGCTTGTTTGTGAACATATTTTGATCAAATTTGGAAAATGTTTTTATTTCTTACTAACTATTCACATTTTACAAAAAAAAAAAAACAGTTTTACCCTCCCAGATGCAGCAAACCTAAGTACTTGTTAAACTAATTCTATTTAAATCAAGAATAAATGTTATATTTTTAAGTAGACATTTCAGTGTAAATCCAATCAGTCAAATGGAAATTCGCTTAGTCTGCAGGTTTGCTGCGGCGGGGGCATTTTAATCCTTGACCTTTTGGTCCCTCATGTTATAATAGATTCACTTTCGTTATTTTCTCTGATATTTTGCCAGGATTCAGAGGTCCCTATTAGAAAATGAACTGTAAGTTGTTGAGTAAAATCATTCACCAGTCCCACAAACATTATTCATCAATCAGATTTTTATAAAAATTTGTCTTAATTGCGGTCCCTTATATGTGGTGCACATTATTAACATAAAGTGGACCACATTTCTTTCCCTGAAGTATAAGATTAAATCACAATCGCCTCTTCTGATGTACAGCGTACGTCCTGGTTTACGTAACTGATAGCTATAATCTGCTACTTTTCTTAATTGGTTGTCATGTCTATCTAAAAAATATTCCTGGTTAGTTCCTTGTCCCTATCCTATTGTATTTGGCTCTTCCGGTAGCAAATAACCTGTACCAGTTACAGTTTTTGCTGGAAAATACCTGAATTCTGAGACTCTTGTACTTATCTTTTCCATCTAGCCTAAAACATTCCTCTTAGTATAATTATCGACATCCTTGATATGTTGTTCGTATTCTAATAGAATTCCGGATCGTTACCTGGATGCTGAGGCTCTGATACTTCTCCTTGGTCATGACGTCTATCCGCAGCACATTCTTCTTGATGTCCTCGTCCACACCCTTGCCCACGTTTGGTCTCTCTGTCAGCCACGGTCTGTGGTTCATCACCATTCTCCCGAGGGCTCGGAACCGCGTCCTCCCGCACAGTCGACCTGTCCGGCGCCTCCTCTGTAACACATTTAGATTCTGTGCAAATTGAAAAAAAGGTTACACGGTTTGAAATACATCCTACGCAAAAGTTATGCACTCTTTACAAGAGACATACATCGTGCATGGCGATTAAAATAATAATCAATGGCTCCGTAATCTTAAATATTTTCTATGAGGAGACTTCTTATTTATATGTGGAATGTGTTAAAGTCAATATTCTAAGGGTAGCTTTGGAATTATTTAAACAAATCAAATTTGAACAGTGAATGGCTGGATTGAATGGCTTATTTGGGTCCATTACGACCTTCAAAGATGATTAGTGTCCCTGAGATATCTTAAACATTTAAAGTTACTATAGCCTACTTAATAAAGTTTAGATGTTCGATAACAGATCGCTTGTACCATATTCATATATAGACTAAACATATACTCATAATTTTGTCATCCTGGAGACATCTTCCATCACACAGGCTATAGTCTATGGTTTAATGTAAGACAATATTTTGCAAGCTGATGTACACACCTTAATTTTAATTATTATAGATTTCAAATCTTGAATTCAAAATCAGTCTTGTTCTTGTCCAAAGGCACAATATAAGTTAAGATAGATACAAGATAACTTACCCGGATATGTCGGTTCATGTTGCTTTGTTTCGCTGGATACATTATTTTCAGGTTATGAGTAACAAAATTTTTACACAGTTTTGATTAGACTTTCGTAAGAGCACTAATTTTAATAAATTGCATCTCATGGAAATGTGTTTTTAAACTAGAAGTATTTGTTAAACAAATATAGTTTTGTAGATCAAAATTTATTTGACGCGTTATCCAATAAGTATTTTCATAAACAATCATAAATTATTTACAAAATTACAGCTGAGTAACTTTAAGAATTGATTTATCCACAGGCATGGGGAAGGTGTCCATCAAACTTTTTATTAGGGCCTTTTTTAGCTCAATTTTTTTAATGAGGATGTGGGGGTACGGAATAACTCCGGGTAGAAATGAAAATATAAAAACAAAACAATAAGGATAAACAACATATTATATGATTTTCCATTTTCAATGTAGTACTCTTTCAATGCTCTCAACTATGAAACTCGTTTGATTTCATGAGGTTTTATATTTACTCGATTTGATTCGGTTTATGAGATTATAGCAAGAAGGGTTCTAATAACTGATATTTACTTATTTGCGTTGCAATTTTAGTCTATTTTGTAGTGTTTAATAAGTACTATAAATAAGTACTAAATATGATGGGACACCGAACTATTTGGTTCTGTTGTTGTAATGTTAGGTTTATAATGCCAAAAAATTAAATACAATCTAGGAATAATTTGTTTTCCAATTAATGTTAGATACAATACTGACATTTTTTTATGTTTGTTCAGTAAAAATGTAGGCTAGTTGCAATTAATTTTCCATTTACCCAATGTGCGTGGAATAAAAAGTAACGTCTTTGGAAAAGTAGCTAAAATTGTAGCTGTAGTTGTAGCTAACTACTTTTGCGGAACTGTAGCTGTAGCTGTAGCTAAGCTACTTTTTTGGAAATGTAGCAGTAGTTGTAGCTAGCTACATTTTAAAAGTAGCTTCCCCAACACTGGATTTTCCATTTCATAATACTAACATGACTGTTACAATAAGAATGTTAATTAATTTTAAAACGATAAAGATAGGTTATTCATAAAGTAAAACATGTAGCTATAAGTTAGCTTAATGTACTATTTGCATATTCATTATTTTTATGTGTATTATCTTCATTGGCTTTTCTTCTCCTTTTAAGCTGCAGTTGGCCAGCCTGCTACTACACCTAGCCCACCCACTGTCTCCATGGTAACATGTTGGCCATTAAACTATAAACACCTGGAATTTTACTGTAGCAATTTAGCATAACAAATCTTCCCTGTATAAGGAAGGTATGTACTCTTTCAATGCTCTCAACTATGAAACTCGTTTGATTTCATGAGGTTTTATATTTACTCGATTTGATTCGGTTTATGAGATTATAGCAAGAAGGGTTCTAATAACTGATATTTACTTATTTGCATTAGCTACTGTATTTGTGTTGCAATTTTAGTCTATTTTGTAGTGTTTATCATTACTTTTTAAATTTCTCAAACTTCATGTTGGCCTCTCTTCATTAGTTCTTCAATTAATAGGTGTTTTCTTAAATTTCAAGAAAACCCATTCTATTAATTGGTAAATCATAATACAGTATTGATTTTATTCCACTATTCACTGCTGGTAAACCAAACCGCTTTGCATTATTTTGTGAACGAGGAAATTACATGGCTGATGTTATACAATAGAACAATATAAATTCTTGATTGGAAAAAAGCTACTTCCAATAAATTTATGAATTTCAAACAATGTAAAAAATAGAGGTTGAAATTTAAAAAAAACTGTTTTTTTTTCTTTTTGTATGAAAAACGCATATCAACACTACGCGATTTGGTGAACCACTGCTCGGTGCATGGCGTATGGTGCATCTGCCTTTAGATTCCCTTATGAGGATGAAAGATACAGAACTATTCTTAAATAGAAATCTATGCAGATGTAACTAAATATAGCATTAACAGCTGATTAAAGTATTCATTCAAAGTTATGAGGAGAAAGCACAACATTTTTCACAGTTAAGCCGGGTTTACACGATGCCAGTTGGCGAGACAATTGTCTTTGCCAATTGGCATCACGTGGTTTTGGAATTGTCGTAGGCCAGGCAAGTTGAACGAGAACCTGTTCACACGTGGCCAACACTTGCCCAGGCATTTTACAGTGAACCAGGGTACTACTGCTAAAAGACAAGACAGTGCTATTGGCCTCTACACCGTTTACACGGCGCCAATTGTCACGACAACTGGGTTTTTGAGGGGTGGGGGCCTCGCTGGGCCCAGCTCATTGTCCTCAGTCTACTCCCGGAGACAACTGAATTTCGGGACAGTTGGCGGGCCAATTGGCTTGCCAATTGGCCTGAAGTGTTTACACGAAGCCAGTAATTCCAAGCCAGTCAGTTGTCTCCTGACAATTGTCTCGCCAACTGGCATCGTGTAAACCCGGCTTTATTTCATAAATTATCAAGAAGGGGGTAAACTGGGGCACCTAGAATTTCAGGCGTTTAATCTAAAGTTGGATTTTTGCCCATTGCAGTTTGCAGTTAGTTGTGACCTCAGAGGATGGCTATCTTACTAATATTATAAATGTGAAATTTTGTGTGTTTGTTTGTTTGTTTGAAGTTCAATCACGCAACTACTGGATGTATTGGGCTGAAATTTGGCATGATGATCGCTCACATTCCCGATTAACATATAGGCATATTCTTATCTTTAAAATCCTTTCGGGCTCCGCCCCAGGTGCTCTGTAGTTCCCAATGTTAACCTTATGAGTATTCATATTTAAAGGGAATTAAAGAATTCAGTCGTAGCTGTTTCAACCAAAAAAGTTTGTTCTATGATATGCAAAAGCATTAAAAATTTATAAGACATACCAACAGGGTGCAGCACTATATTTTTTTGCATATATGAAAACAGCTAATTTTTAGAACCAAGCAGCAACAAAAAACTGTGATAGGCAATGAGAACTAACTGTCAAAGAAGGATTGTTTACAGTTATGTTTATGTTGTTAACTTCATGAATAATTTGTGATAGTTTGAGAATTTTTTGTGATTTATTTTTTCTATTGTCCTATTGTTTAGGTGAAGTGGTAGAACATTATGGCTATGGTAGATGTGTAATACTATAGAATGCTGTAAATTTGAAGAAGCAAATGTTATATAACTGTGTCCTACCTCATTACAAACGCAAAGTTTGAGCATAACTGCAATAAGCATTTTATACTTATATGCCAACCCCGTACGAAGGAGGGGTACTCTGCTAGTGATCAATAAATGCCTTCAGGAAGTTGATTATAGGTTATAGGGACTTGATGATTGATATTCCACTCATGCCTCTTATACCAATTAGAGAGTACATTGTTAGAAAACTATTTGAGTAAAGTGCAATAATTTTGAAGTTAAGAAGGATGAGTTTTAATTGTGTACCTATACCTTAATCAATTCAACACCATTATATTTTTAACCTTTGTAATAATCAAGCAGTATATTTTCTGTATAGTCTTGTTACTCTCTATCAATTTAGTGGTGTAGTCGTAAATATTTTAAGTGCGGGAGCACTCTCCATCATCTTAGAAAACAAACCTGGGTCCCCTTTTCAATAAAATAGGATTTTCATAAAATTAGAGTGGGAACGCTGTTCACAAACAATGCTGCTAGACTACACCACTGCTGCCCCATAAAAAAACACTAAAAGCCCCAATGACAAATGGCCACAGTGATCAGAATCCAATTATTCTCAGTACCGAACCAGCAACACCTCGAGATTTGAAGGCGAGCACTAAAACATCTCAGTTAAAACCTGATTTTTTTTGTAGGCAGCATCTGCATATCAGCATGTACAAGAAGGAAAAGACTCTTCAGCTGCTAACCTCTGCTTCGGCAATCCCCAACAACCTAGCAGTCAGCTGTTTACGAAGGGGAGCCACTGCCGAGTCCATCGCTGTAGTTCACCAGGTGAAAGACTGCCCTATATCTCACATCAGCTGATTCTGCACAATTACACCCAAGGCCTCACTTTGCATATGAGCTGACTAGGCTGTAATCCGGGCGCAATCTTTAGAAGCCCAAAATTTTAAAAAATCTGTTTTTGTAGAGGGACAAAAGAGCTCACAAATTTTGAGCAGTGTTTTATTTTCCTAATAGCTTAACAAAACTGTCTTCAAGTTCTTAATACAGGTGATAAAGCTACTGGATTAAGCCATCGTTTAACCAGATAACAATATTTGTATTTTAAATACTAAGACATTTTTTTCCATTATGAATTTCATTACAATTTTAATCCACACATGCTTTGAAATGCATCTCCAATGAGATAGTTTACTTGGTTACCATTCACCATTCTTTTCTCACTCACCAATATGGACCTTTTCCACCAACATCAATACAAGAGAAAATAATTTGCAGGGTAAAGCCACGATAGAGGTTCACAGCACGTACACTCCTAATATGTTTATTCAATCTACAGGGTTTCATCAACATGGTAGGGGTGGGGGAAGAGGAGCTCAGTGCCAAGTACATCCCATGCACAGACACGGCACAACGACAGAGCGCCATGGTCACACAGGTTGGCAAAATACTTTGAATTATGTAACTCATTTAAATAGTATATTCCTTAGAGATGTTGATAAGAATAAGTGCAATTTCATTGATGAGTCGGTGAATTTAACAGACTGTGAAACTAAGTCAGCAAAATCTTACGTCCCAATTCCATCAATTTAACTATATCAGTACAGTTCATCCTTGTACTGTACCAGCTGACCACTCCCTTTGTATAAATTCAAATTTATTTTAAAAATTGAAATCTTACTACACATTGTAGTCTGCTGTAGAACAAAGAATAATATTACGTTAAATTTTGCAAGTTTGATTAAATCTAATTATGATAGTTGTTATATAGGTGGTTTCTTATAATATTAATAGAAAATTTTATGGCTGTTAAAGATATTAAATATAGCACTTGATTTTCCAACTTGAATTTCTTCCAAAATTTCTCCACTTGTTGAGGAATTGTTCCTCTTGATCCAATGAGTAGTCCATATACTTCGAATTTTGATATTTTATATTTCTCTGAATAATATGGGATAGTTTTCTTGTAAATATTTACTTTTTCTTCATGGACTTCCTGTGGCTGATTTTCATTTGTCTCAAGACGAACTGTTGGGTCTATAATGAGACCGAAATCTTTCTCCTTGTCTATAACAATGATGTCACTCCGCCTCACAGAGCCCTCTTCTTCTATAGCCGTGACCTCTTCATAGACCTCGTAATTTTTCTTTCTGAATTGATCAGCTATGATTTTTCTGATGGTATGGTGGCGGGTATTTCGTAGAAGACTACTAAATGGGCACTTTCCAAGGACGTGGGCAAGAGTTTCAAGAGTAAATTTCTCAGATACAGGACAATGCCTGCACTGGTTCCCGTCCCTGGATCTCCCATGAAGACTTCTAAGAGGAATAACGTCTCCGACCATTTTCAAGTATTGTTTGAACTCAGCTTCTGTGAGGCCACAACCTCTAGCCAAATTTTTATTGATCTTGTTACATTCTTTGAAAAGAACCACCCCATTCCCTTTGTATGGAAGTTTACACCAATTTTGATACTCTAAGTCTCGTAAGGTTTCTCGCAGTATCTTGGGTTTTGATTCAATAAATTCAATACTTAAATTAAATTTTTCCAGACAAAACCTAATTTCTTCGTCAAATTGACGAATATTAAGTAAGTAGGGGTTTCCCGTTTGTTTTAATACGCGACATATGTTTATATGTTGGATTGATGATTCCCACATTGATTTACATAACCCAATCCCTTTGTTTTTAGTACTTGTATAAAACATAGAATTTGGCATATCATTTGGAAGATCTAAGATTTCCTTTGTTGTTGATCTTATCACTTTATCAACATCGTCAAAGAATTTCATTGTAATTTTCTTAATTGGTGCGGTTTGAAAAGGATATATTAAAGATGGCCAAATATTATGATTCAATACATACATTTTTTGTTCAGACCTTAAAAAAGGAGAACATGTTAATTTTTCAATTTTGTTTATCAATGAACTAATTGTTTTTTCAGAGTCAAATACTATGCTTTCAGAAAAATTTACTCCTAAGTATTTAATTTTTTCATTAAATGTTATAGATTTTATTTCTTTTGAACATATTTGGAAGTTTTCCTCTTGTAATCTACCTTTTTCAATGTTAATAATTTTAGTTTTTGATATATTTATAGTTAATCCAATTTCTCTGAAGAAGTCACAAATCGAATCGAATAATACGAGAGCACTTTCTCTATTCTTACCAATTAAAATGGTATCGTCAGCGAATCCTAGAATACTTAGAGAAGGCATGTCCTTGCATAGCTTATACCCTAGCTCCTCACTTACGGCATGTTGTGACATTTCAGAGAGGATATGGTCAATACATAGGTTATACAAAGTGGGTGACAATGGAGATCCCTGCATTACACCCCTTTGTATTTTGATGTCCTTTGTTTTCCCTCTATGAGTTTCAACTTTTGTAACATTGCCTATTTGGAGTTTAATTATTATTTCAATCAGTTTCCTAGGAATAGGTAGCTCCTGCAAGACTGAGGATAAGTGGTTATGGCCGATATTGTCGTACGCTTTCTCAATATCCAGAAACATAATACAGCAGTCGGTTTTCTTTGATTTTGCTGATCTCAATACCTCATTTAGAATACTTGTATTAAGATGGGAACCAGGGGTATTAGAAAAACCTCCTTGAAACTGGTTAAATTTGATATATTCTTTTAGTCTTTTGTCCAATATTTTTTCTAATATCCTCCTTAAAACAGAACATATTGTGATTGGTCTCCAGTTATTAACCTCTTTTTTGTCTCCACCTTTATCAATTAAAATAGTTCGTGCTCTTTGAAATGATGAAGGTATCTGGTTTGTAAGGTGTATTGTGTTATAAATTGAACAGAGGATCTTTGCTACTTTCTTAAGTTTTACAATTCTCATTAATATATTGTCAGGTCCCGGAGAAGTGTCAATTTTTATTGCATTTATTGCTCTCACGACTTCTTCTACAGTAATTTTTTGATTATAATGCGAATCTAAGTCTTTCACTATTGTGTCTTCCACATTGTTATATGACATTTTCATATTTTCATTTGGATTGGAGAAACGTGTGGTAAAACCTTCGTGTAATGTTTTTAGATCAATTTCACATCCTTTATTACCGTCTCCGATTATCCTTCTCACAGCTTTCCTACGCCTATTATAGTATTAAAATTGGATCAGATCATATTCATACTTTTCTTTTCTCTTTTTCCTTTCGTTTTTAGTTTTCCTTTCTGGGTTGGATGATTTCTTATAATTACTATTTTGAGGATAGTCTTGTTTCTTTTTCCTTAATTTATAAAACCTGTAAGAAGGATGTTTAGGCCCAGGAAGATTGTGTAAAGCGTGAGATAAAAACTTGGAAAACTTATCAAAATTTTCAGAGAATAACTCAAAGTGTGTTTGTTCTTCATTGAAGACTGTTAACCAAGAATCGAGATCCTTGTTTATGCGATCACTTTCGCTATTTACTTTGCTTGACATATTGTTTGTTTTATCATCCAATTTGTCTGGAGACTGTGTTTTTGAGCTTTCTGGACAATACTTGTTTAGAATTATATCACGATGTTTATTGTGGTGGCTCTTTGAAATATGGAGAGATAATCCTTTTTTGCTTTTAAAGAGTTTTCCGCATTCGCCACAAGTTTGATCATTTGATTGATCTACTTTACTGTTACATTCCTCACTTTTTTGAAATTTATGATCTTCAGCTGAGGTTTGCTTTATGCCTTCCAACGATTTATTTCTAATCTTAGTTGCTTGACATTTATTATTAGGGACAATACGTAACATGTAGGGAGTATGGCATACATTGTACAGGGCTAAGAGGCCCATGTGGACAAGCACATGCATGGTTAAAAGAGGCAAACATGTTCCCACCCGTGATTCAAAGCAGGCAGGTTTTTTTCACTCAAAAACTCATGAAATTCTTTCTCCTTACGTTTTTAGTTTGGTAGTAGAAGAAGAAGAAATGTGTGTACAAAATTAATCAAAAAATCAAGAACAATGAAGTAACTACTACAAAATAAAGAAAACTTAGTAAAAACGTCTGTACTAAACAACGCTAGAAAAGCAGGTTGGATTTTATTTATTTATTTTATTTATTTTTTATTTATTTTATTTTATTTTGCATGCTACAAAACAGAATACAAATTCCATTAACATTGCAGCACTATTCTAGTTTGTACAAAAATTGAGAACATGCTATGAGTTCATAAAATTGAATAAAGTAAATCGTTCATAGACTAAGAATAATAAATATTAATTATTAAATAACAACAACAATAAATAATAGTAGCAATAAGTAACAATAAATAAGAGTGACTAAGAATTACGCAAATAAATAAGATAAATAAATAAGATAAGAAACAAAACATGAGACACAAGATAACTGATGAAGGTGAGAGAAATTAATAACATTAACCATTATGTGAGATTAAAGATTTTTTATAAGAGGCTAGGCTCGAGTTAAAAATATCAACGTTGTCTGATATTAAATTATATAGTCTCATCATCGTGTTGATAGGTGATTGAGCCCCTAGGCAAGTCCGTGAGAAGGACGGACTGAACAACGCGCGGGCTCTGGACGAGGGTCGGCGAACAAGGAACGTTAAACGAGATAAGAGCTCGCTGTCATCAACCTTATCATTGAGTAGTTTGTGTAGAAAGATAAGCATCCCCATATCACGACGTTGCTTTAGACTGACCATTTCAAACAAGTTTAAAAGAGTATGGTAAGATACATCAAATGTGAAGTATCCAAACTTCTTGAAGAATAAATATCTAAGGAATTTGATTTGTATTTGCTCAATCATGTCGACAAGATATGTTTGATGAGGATACCACACAGTTGCTCCAAACTCAAGTTTAGGCCGTACCAGGGTGCAATATAAAAGTTTGAGACTGTAAATGTTGGTTATAAAACTTCCTGATCTGAATATGAAGCCAAGAATTCGATACGCTGATCTACAAGACTCAATTACATGATTAGAAAAACACAACTTGCTATCAATTGTAACACCAAGATCTGTGACACTACTTCGACTACCCAGTAAATTACCATTCATGGAATATTGGAAGTTAACAGCGTTGTGAGTGCGTCTGGTGTAACTGACAACAAAACATTTATCTGAATGGAATTTTAAACCTACATCACTCCAAGCCACTAGTCTATCCAGGTCTTGTTGCAATAGAAGACAATCACTAACGTCGTTTATTTCTCTAAAGATCTTTAGATCATCAGCATAAAGAAGGACTTTACTATTCAACACACTGTTAACGATGTCATTAATGAAGATTGTGAACAATAAAGGGCCAAGGTTCGAACCCTGGGGAACCCCTGAAGATACAACAAATTCAGAAGATGAACTTCCCTGAAAAAAAACAAACTGTTTTCTGTTATGTAAGTAGGTCGAAAAAAAACGCAAACCATTGCAGGTGATACCAAGATAATTCAGTTTTGACAATAGTGATAGATGGTTAACTTTGTCAAACGCTTTTTCAAAATCAGTATAAATGACATCAACCTGACCTCCTTTGTCCAAAGAGGAAATACAAAAATCAGAAAAATTCATCAGATTAGTATTGATAGACCTCCGAGGATAAAAACCATGTTGGAGAGGCGTAATCCAGAACTTCACATGATTGAAAACCCTGTCATACAACACGGCTTCGAACAGCTTCGCTGGTGTGGACAAAATAGCAACCGGTCTGTAGTTTTTTATATCACTCTTTTTCCCCTTCTTGTGAATAGGGACAACTTTTGTAGTTTTCCAAAGATTAGGAAAATACGACGCACCTAAAGACAAATTGAAAATCTTTAGAAGAGGCTTAACTAACAGTTCAGCACAACCTTTGAATATAAAAGAAGGGACACCATCAGGGCCTACAGAGCGTTTGGGTTTAAGTTTTTTTAATGCCAACAATAACTCCTCCTCAGTGACATCACCAAATGCGAGACAACCAGAGTGTGCATGGACAGGTGAGCAGACCGCCTGGCGATACAACTCCTCATTATCAAGATGTGTGGGAACGTAAACAGATTGGAAGTAAGTAGCAAATGCCTCCGTTATCGCAACACTCCCCTCCACCTCCTCCCCGTCCAGAGTCATCGCAGCCACACGATTATCACTCGATCTTGGCCCCTTAATAATACTCCAAAATGAATTAGGATTTACCTTAATAGTATTTTCAATGTCGTTCAAATATTTTAAGTAATCTGTTTTGATATTACGTTTGGACTGACAACGTAATTCCTTATATTCCTCTGTAAAACACTGGTCTTTATATTTCTTTAATTTCCTTCTCGCCTTTTCTTTGTCTTTAATTAATTTAATCGTAACAGGAGAATACCAAATAGGATATTTTCGTTTAATGTTCTTACGCAATGGGACATTTGAATCTAGGGCTGAATATAAACTACTATAAAAATTATCAACTGCTAAATCTACATCCGAACAACTATATACAGAATCCCACTTAATATTCTTTACAGCAGTGTAAAGCTTCAAATAATCCACATTCTTGAAATTGTAAATTTTTCCCCCTTGATTATTACAACTAAAATTAGTTTTTTTTTCAATCAATAGTTCAAAATCAATACCTAATGGAGGGTGATACTTGTCTTTTTTTACTACAGGATATTCTTCCTTAACACCCATACTATCAATATTACTTAACACTAAATCAAGAGTCCTATTATCACAGTTTAGAATATTGTTTTTTAAAACTATATTATGTAAATTACAAAAAAACATAAGTTGCTTACAAATTTCATTACCAGTAGACAAATCAAAGTTTTCACCATATATATGAAGGTTAAAGTCCCCTAAAATAATTAATTGTTCATTACTCAAATTCAATGAATCAAGCTTACTAAAAAACGACTTATAAGTTGACATTTGACTATTTGGTTGAAAATAAACTAACCCCAAAATTAATGTAATTTAAGTGGCCATGGACACAATGATGTGTATTCTGACAAAACAAAGTGCAGTTGACCATCTTAACTAACCGAGAGGTAAATCTGCTCTAGTAAGGTAATTGTCGCTGCGTTTAGTTTGAATACCTCTCACATTTAAGTGTTGACATTGCAGGTGATGTGGTGCATGCTGGGAGGTGAGACTGTGCTAGCCATCACGTCCACTCAGGGACTACAAATATTTGACCCAAGTGGTCTCGAGTGCAGATTCTCACACCCGTGTGAAGACGCCTCCGTCCCAAACTCGGGTGAAACATTTGCTCGAGGACTAGCTATCATCGCAGATGAATTCCTCTGTGTTGGTAAACTATTTCAATTGACAACTTTATATTTATAAAAATTATTTCCAATATATTTCATTGCAGTTAAAGATGAAAATCTTATTTCAAGCAACACAGCTTTTGCAATTACTCCTCTTTCTTGGCCATCAATTTCTGCTGTTGAATTGGCGATTTTTCTCAATCAACAAAACATACCCGAAATCAGGAGATTTGAGGTGCTAACAGTTATCATGTCCCAGGAAATGCTACAGGGAGTGTGAGAGTGTTTGGTGTGCTGGGGGAGGACTGGGAGGTTGTATTTGTGGATCGCAAGCAAGAGCACGTAGAGGCCATCACAGACCTGGCAGCGTCCAGTGACTTGTTGGCATCAGCTGACGAGGGGGGAGCTGTCGTCTTGTGGAACCTCACTGGCGAGGAGCTTCTAAAGTCTTACAGCCTGCCTGACTACGGGTTGGTCAAACTTATCACCATTATGTAAATGCATTAATCCTTCCCAGACGGCAAAAATCATAGAACAGGAAAAAATTATAGGCAAAAATAAAAATTAATTTACCTTATTTGTGTTTTGTTATACAAGTATACATAAAATAAACACAATGGAACACTTCATACTGGAGAGAGCAGGAAAGTGGGGCCTTGGTACCGCGAAACATCCGGTTTCGCTCAAGCACCTGCCAGTCTGTCTGAAGAGAAGGCGGATATATCCGCTTCCCGTCCCCAGCATCTAAAACCAAAAGCGGATACATCCGCCAGCCGTCCTTTATCGCCAAGACTTAGGCGGATATATCCGTCACCCGTCCGTGAAGGGTTAATAGTTTTAACTTTGAATAATTTGTGATATTGGTTAAAGGTAATTGCTGATATTTTACATCACAATAGTAAAATACAAAACACAACGTTTTGGGATCGCTCCCTCATTGGTGGCCATTTTACACAGAAAGACTATTGTTTTACCGGGTGTCCAGTTAGTAAGTCTGTACTCTATTTATTCATCTTAGTAGTCCAACCCTTTGTCTAGTGTTGAACAAATCCAACCAAATCCAATTTTCCTCTGAACACGTTGTAACGCTCTGAACGTGATTGTAACATTGGCCCTTCAGAAAAAAATATCCCTTTCTATGTGCTGTAACCTCTAAACCATCAGCAACCTAAGCAACTGTAATAACTGCTATATTCCTGATTGCAGATCAGCCTGTACCAGTTTGCGGCTACACCAGCAGTTGTTGTTGGCTGGGTATGGTTCAGGCCACCTCAGATTGTTCAGTGTGTCTCCAACACACAAGCCTGTATTGATGTGTGAGGTGGCGGCCCACGCTCGCTGGCTCACAGCAATCGACGTTGCTACCGATGCGAATCTAGCTCTCTCCGTGTCCGAGGATTCCTTCATCCGAATCTGGGAGATTAAAGGAGGAGATCAACCGGTATGTTGAAAAAACTATCAATTATTTGAGATGAGGACGCCACATAGGTGTGAATTTTAACCAAAATATGAGTGAAGGATGAATGTTGTCAGATACTTGTATTGTGTAGCTTTGTTACTGACTAAGATCAGCTGGTTCAGTCAGGATCATTTATTTAAAGCCCAATGAACAGGAAAAGCTGCGTCCGGGTTTGAACCAGCGAACTTTAGATTGTTAGAGGAGTTTAACCACTAAGCTATCCAACCATATTATTACCTAACCATAAACTTAATTGTATTATGAGAACATAGATTGTTACGTTAATTAAAATTAGCATTAGCAATTATTGCTCAAAACAAATAATTTGTAACTTTGAATCCTGAATAGTGATGTGCGTATCGATACGTATCAATACAGATATCGATACAAGGACCGCAAAATATCGATTTTTGTATCAATACGTGGGAGTGTATCGATATGCCCGTATGGATACACCAGCCAATATCGTATCGAATATCGTATTGTTTATTTATTAATTTAAATCTTATTTTTAAGGTTAGAAATTTGTCTTCCCACCTTCCTTCCCTCAAAAGTAGTAGTGGAAATTTGATATTTTACTCTACCATCATTAAAAACACTGATAAAACATGTATTTTCAGCTATGTTTTGCAAATAACCTCAAAACTATAGGGCCACCATTAATGGAAGTGGGGACCCTCATTATCCATAATATACTATTTAATGTGTAGGCTAAGTGGCATACCCACCATCATTATAAGTACTTTTTGGTTCAATTAATTATTATCCCTGTGTAAAAACTAGGAAAACAATAACAAAATGTTTTCCAATTTGAGGGTTTGCCGGAATTTGGAGGTTATGTATGTGAGTTTGATACAAATAAAAAGACACAGGAAGGAAACGGCTTTTCTGAGGTAAGATTACAAGCACTAACCCTCTTTACAAGCTTGTAAGTAACATAGTACTGTATTTGTCTATGCAGCTTGTATATTTGAGATATTTACAATTTTTTTTTTATTATAAATAAACAATACGATACGATATTTTATCCAATACGGGTAAAAATCGATACACGTATCGATACACCATGTTCCGATACGTATCGATACGCAGTATCGATACATTGACCCGTATCGCACATCACTAGTCCTGAACCTGGCAACCTTTAAAGATTACCTCAACTGTTAATAAGATCTCTTTGTATGTCTGTGGATCAATAAAGTAACCATCAGCTAATATATTCATTGAATTTGTTTTAGATTATGCAGCAGAAGTTTTACACTCAAGTGGAAGATGCCTTTCTTGTAGGAGGCAGATTTCTCACAAAGGAAGGATCCTCGTTTTGTGTCTCATCTTATGATAGCAATCTAGTTCAGTGTTATAAAAGTTAATTGTTAACTACTATATGTTCATTTCTGTTCAACCACTGAAATAATTTATTTTTTACTGGTTTAAAATTTATTTAAATAACAACCTTCCTTCCTCATGATTCCCTTCATATGTTAGAATTTGAATTGTTAATTTAACTTGGAGATTCTTTATCTGATTGTTAAGTGCTAGATGCATATTGATAGTGGTGGGGTGTGTGAGGAGTGTGCGTGTGTTTACACCAAACAATAACAACCAAACAGTTTGAGTGAGTGTTTAAGCAGTTGATCGTTTTAAATCAGAAACAACTTTTTGTAGGGTACCTAACTTAATTCTAATGAAAAATCTTGCTTCGTCAAATCCTGAAATCCATTTCAAGGAGGTGGGCTTCAATGAGTTACCGGCAATACTAAGTAATTTGAAGAAAGACTGGCCACACTCTATTCACGTAAGCATGTGTGTTTTTATAGTTAATATGTGCAACCGCCCATTACTGAAACAATTATATGGTTCAAAAGTTATTTTAACTTTTGTGATTTTCCCTATAAAATATCATAGTTACTCCCACAGCTTTCCCATGATAAAGGTTGTTAACAAGCTAACTGGAGAAAGTATGTGTCAGATTGCTGATTTTATTTTATATTCAACCATTGACTATTACAGGGTGTTTATAAAAAACGTTTGCAACTTTTAAACCACCATCATACTTAATTTTCTCACTTAAAGCTAAGAAATAACCATCAAAGACTAGGAAATCATTTCAAGTGTTTTGGTACATAGTAAGGAATTTACTCAACTTTCAATGTGTTTTCCATTATTTGCTGGCAGATAATCAAGTCTGTATTCCAGTTTGGATCAAACACAACCTAAAATAAACATCATCTTATTTCTGTTGAAGTTTGAAATTTGAAGTTTGTAAGCACGGAATGTAAGTAAATTTAAGATTTTGTGTACGGTAGGGTGTTTTGTGTTTAATTCACGTGCTGCGCATCTCATAGACTTTTTTTTAACTGTTCACAATCATCACAATCTTCATTGCTGGGCTCGACCATTAAACTTCTTGTGATCCAAACTGCCGCTGTTCATAAACTTATAGTACCAAAAAGGAGGATTCCTACTGTATCTTGGTCAAAATCTCTGTTGAACAACAACATGATACTTGGTTTCAATGAACTACTCTACACACTGCACTTTGAGCTTTCATTGCAATTCTAACGAGAATCGTCAATTATTTATTATTGATTACCAAGCAATAGTATTAACTAATCAGCTGATGAAACTGCTACTGATTAAAACTTGTTGGGCTATTCCTTGATATGGTGTTTTTAGAAAACCTTTACGTTACATGGAACGAGAATGGAAGGACGGCCAAGTTGTAAAGCTTTTATACAAATATGACTTAAAATAGTGTTATTTCTGGTTCCGTGGCGTAATCTTAACAATCATCTGTTTTAGACATACTATTTTTTGCTTAACTTTGTAAACTGGACTAAGCAACACTGGAATGGAGAGTTCAACTTTTACTGTCCTGATGTGGGTTCAAGCACCAAGAGTGTTATGGCTGTTGTCAAGTTCAAGGTATTGTTTGGGAAAAATTATCATTACCGTCTTCTCTGTTGGCCTGATAAATAGGTACACAGTAATCATGAGATATTTCTTTGTGAAAGACCCACAGAAGGTGAAATAAACAGTGAACAACTTGAGTAAATATTGATTATATGCACAGATTTTTAGTTTAACATCAAATCAATAATTTTGCTACATTTTACAATAGACAAATAGAATTAAATATACACCAACAGCAGTGCTGCGGTTAGCATAAGTTCTGGCATCCACCGCTTGGAGTGTCGTGTAGTTAAGTAGCGTGTGTGCCGTAACTACACGACACTCCAAACAGTGGACGCCAGAACTTATGCTATTCACAGAACTGCTTTCGGTCTATATTTAGTTCTACTAGTGTCTCTGTTGCTCGAATTCGAGCAATTGCTAAGTATTAGAGGCATTATTTTAAAAGGAATAGCGGTCATAATTTCTGATGACTTTAAAAGATTCGACCAAAAGATTATGGAGAGACTCAAGATGTACATAACAGAATATGAGTGAAAATTTAAAAACGTACGTTTTCGTGTCCCTGGCCTTTTACTTCGTAGATACTGGATTTGTAGTTTATTATTATGTGTTTTAACATTTATTGGGACGGGGGCAACATGTTACACACATTTAATTGGTTTTAAATAGGTTCTAGGTATTTTTTTCCTATTTTTAAAGTCTCGAAATTCACGACCATGACGTGTCCCTAGGGTACATTTTCCAACTTTCACGCTGTTTTTAGACTAATTATTCATGCCAAAATGTATAAAGCCATATTTTTATGTCATCAATGGTTATTAAATTGACATAAAAGGAGCATATTATAATTTTATCGTCATTGCAAACTGACTACCATGACAAAATAAGTCTGTCCCTCGATTTGGCGTCACGACCATTTGGGAAAAATTTTCAACTTTGGAGCACGACAGTGGCTAGCCTGGCGTCGATGGAGTCAGTTGGTTTTAGAGACTAGTTCGGGGTGTACGTCAGGATTGTAGTGCCGGTCGTTTCTAGTTGAAAAGAGGAATTACAAGATTAATAAAGAAAAGATTGTGTTTTTTGTAATTTTGGTGTGTCCATGACCATACGTAGTCATTCGATGAAGTAGACATGGTGTTAATTTTTGTTTATTAGATATTTCAATTGCTAGATTAACCTAGAAGTCCACTTTGTATCCTCGAACATGAGGGGCAGGGCTACCGCCAGAACAGAGCCAAATAACACGTAATTTCACGACCAAAGTTTCACGACCATCGCGGGTTTTTTCACGACCAATCCAGCCTTATGGATTATAGTGTGTTTGGTCGTGACAATAACTTTAATATAATTGTAAATTTAACAGTTTAGTTCAATTAAAACACATATTTTTATTATAACTAACAGTACCTATAATTGAAGGATTGTTTAGAAAGATTTAGATCATTCCAGACAATTCACGACCGTAAATATTAACTTGAAATAAAAAAAATAATAAAAGTTCTGAAAAAAGGTGAAAAAAATTTGCAAAGTGCTTTTCATGAAAACGTACGTTTTTAAATTTTCACTCATATATCAATTTATCCAGGCTCTCTCGCTTTTTTCCATTGTAATATTTACGCTAATCCAAATTCAAATAGTAAATATTTCATTTCAACCAAGTCAGTAAATGTTTGTAGCAAACTGTATTAGCAAACTTATTGAATGTTTAGAATTAACATATGTTCTCCTTCTCACTTTTAACTTCTGACAACAGCTGGAGTTTCATAACAATTTATATTTCCCATGTTAATCTTATGGAGAAATACGAAACTTTAAAGGTCCCCAGGGCCTCACTCTCTAATTATTTCCCTAAAAAGAAAGTTTCCTGCACAACTTCACGTTACGCAGGTTACGCTCTTTCCAATGGCACCAAAAACATGTCAATCGGTTCAGTAGTTTCGGAGGAGTAATTGTCACAAAAAACATGCTTGCGTATTAAATAAGTAATAGATTTGTCTATGATTTTACTGACCATTACTGAGTAGACTAGCCTAACCCGTTCAAAAATTGTTGTAATTGAATTGGTATAGGTTTTTGTGTTTATAATATTTAAAAAAATTGTAAGGTAATTGAAAAGGTATATTAATATGTATGATTAAATCGATCAATAATTTTTGGGGCTCAAAAGATTAAGTTACCTAACATTTTAATATGCCTGTTAACATATTCAAATGTTTAATATTGTGACTCATGACAAAAAATTAAAATTGTCAACATTTTTTTATAGAAGTTCAGACCTTGTATACAACTGGAATAATAAATTATGCTATTTTAGGATGGTCATACTTTTGTCCAATACCACTGTCTGGATGAAGTGAGCTGCAAGAGTATTCATAAAGCCATTAAACATACTAATGTCCTACATTGGGATCAACTTTTGATTTTCGAAGCAATACATGAAAGACTTGTTCCAGGCTTACAAGAAATTATTCAAGAAAAAGGTCTAAGAGTGATAAAAAATGACAAATGCTTCCAAGTCTGGATGCCTCCAACCAGAGTGAGGAGTTTGAACGAGTCGTAAGTTCATAAGTAGGTTTGGACAGTCTTTTTAAGAAGATAGAAGTTGTATGCTACAAAACTATTATTGTAGGTAATGTTTTTTACTATATTGTCTGAGGAATTCCTCCACCGCTTATTGAATATTACCAAGAATGTGCTTTGAGATTCATAATGTAAAGTAGCTATGGCTTTGTCCCATTCTGGAGCAAAAGTTTTAACGGTTCAAACAGTACTCACAGAATGGTATTTGAGAGTGAAGTTCATATGATTAGGCTATGGGGTAAAAATAGATTTTCCCCATTCTTGACCCTCAAAACGTAAAGATTTTCTAAATTTCTCTTGACTGTTTTGAAGAGCTTAAAAAAGAATTAATTTAGTAAATAGAAGTGTTTTTGTATTGTTATTGGCTATGGAGAAAATTCCAAAAAATGTTAAATTTAAAATTTCTATGTTATTCTTATGGCGAAGAATAAGTAAAAACTGTTATAGTTTGCTTGTTTATAGGTATGTATTTTGATCAAACTTGTCAAATTTATATATATATATTATACTAAGCTATTAATATTTCACAAAAACGCTCTTTATTACCCTCTGTGTAAAGCAAACCTAGGTACTCATTAAACCTAATGTTGTTTGAATAGATTTAAGTGAAAATCAAATCAGGTAAATGGAAATTTGCTTAGTCAGCAGGTTTGTTGCGGGTGTTCTATTATTTAACTTTTTTGTTGCCTACGTTCTTAAGATGGTTAACTGTAGGGAAGAACTAGAAACTACAAGGCCTACCTCGAGAACACAGGCAACAAAAGGTATTATTTGTTCTTGCTTGATGATTATACCGTGAGGAAAATGCAGGAACCCAACATGGGCAGTGTAAGATAATTACCTAAACCATTCATTAGATATGTGCTTTCATTAAAATTGGTTTTTCAGACTGCCACCCCAGATAACTCTATGTTCTTTGGATGGAAACCACACACAACAAATCCACAGATACTGGGGATATTCTGGACCAGGAACTGAAGTAATAGTCAGAGATAGTCTTACACTGAACGGTGGTCTTGGTCTCAGAATTGGCAAAAACCACAGTTATGTAGGATGGTCAGTGGAACAGCATTATGGGGGGATAGGCATGTTGTATGTTCATCCGGAGTATCGAAGACAAGGATATGCTGCAGCGTTGGTAAAAACTATGGGAAAACAAGCTGTTCTCAAAGGAATTGATCCTTTTGCCATTATTGAAGAAAACAATAATATGTCTAGAAATCTATTTGAAAAACTCCACTTTGAACATATTTGTACGGTTCACTGGATTGGAGTACAGGCAGGATAGTATGTGAATATTTGGACTCCACGTATGTATATTTTATAATGTACCGGTACTAGAATTAGATGTTTTCCAATGACTTGTGTATTATAAGTTCTAAAGGAAATAAATTGATCTTAAATGTCTTATGTCTTATATGTCACGTTTTTAGCCCCTGAGCTCATGTACATATCGGTAATGTAAGACTGAATTACAGTTCTAAATCAATGTAGGTATCCCATAGTTTGTATATGTTGAAGCTGCTTTTAAAGGTAATTACTTTGTAAGTTGTTTTCACACAATCTCCAAACAAATAGTAGTAGTGAAGGCCTACCAAAAATTTTGTCAAATAGGCCTACTTCTTTTTAGGCCTACCTTAATTTTTAAAAAGCTAAAGGCCTATGACGTGTTTCCGGACCAGTATAAAAACGATACATAATAATACCACTTTACCTTAAATGGAAAATCTTATCTTGTCTTAAACCATATTACTATCTGGGAGGGCCAGCCTAGCCCTGTTGTCAATTGGACACTGTTTTGTGTATTGTGACTGTTCTATAGCCTATAGGTTCAATTTACAATTTTCAGTGACTTTCAATAGTTAATAGACTACAAAGTAACTTAATAATAAATCGATTAAACAGCCACAATAGGCCTACGACAAGTTGTTCGAAAGCTTTATCGTTAAATGAACTGAGAATTGACTGTGAAAACTTTAATGAATTCAAAACCATAAGACTAGGCCTAATGCGAAAGAAATATGGACACATAGTAAATACATAAGATTTTTGACCAGGCGGCGGATACTGAATTGTGTGAAAGGAGCGTAACATGGCAATAGAATCATTATTTGATTTACTAATTGTTCTTTGCTGATTAATAAACATGAGAATGTAATTCTTACTGTTTTTTAATACCACCATAAACAAGTTTTGCTATTGCTCATAGCGCTAGTTTACAGCTTAAATGATTAGGCCTGCTATATTTGGGCAAACACCATAGAAGTCAAGGGGCTATTAGGAAATTATAATAAAACCTAAGACACATGTTAATAGTAAACAAACTTTATCAACAAAATTTAAGGACTAACCTCAAAACAATTCCGAGGTTAAACATATTAACGGATATAAAACAACATGTTTAGGAAGTAAGTTAATGCTAAGATTAGAATAATTCATTTGTACTGACATGATATCTGTTTAAAACAAGTACCGGTAAGTTAGTCTGCCTACATTAAATAAGAAATTTTCTTATCCTATAAGTAAGTTAATACTGCTGCAAAAAGACCACAAATTTGAAATCCTATTTTTGTTAAATTTTTCTAGGCCTAGAGTGTTAAAGGCAAAATGGTTGGTACATAGCAACAATCATATGCTCTTTTTTTATTTTATTTTTTTGCTCAAGAATAAATATTAGGCTTCTGTGATAGTTTTGGCCTAGTCCTGGCTAAGTGGAAACTAACCTAATGTTACCATTAATCCTGATTTTTGCTTTTTTCCACTTGTTCTGAAATGATTTCTAGGAGTTCATTACGCATGTTAACAACAATATCTTTCTTTATGAATGGGACTTGTTCCAAATGTCCATGGGTAGTAACATGATGTGCTAGGTTTTCTAGATTGCAGATCAAGTAGATTCCACAATCATAGGAGTTATCTTGTTGAAGAGATGTCATCTCTTCCAAATTAACCTCAGAGGAAGGGCTAAAGTAATTACCTACATTGCGAGCTAGCTTCAAAGCTGGTTGGTAGTTCGTGTGTGAGGATGAATCGAGATGATAGAACTTATTTTCAAGGCGATTGTAGACCAACAAACTCCAATGAGAGCCACCAGCCGATTTTCCAGAGTCATTCACAGCCATAAAAATAAAATCTTTGTGCTGAGCCTCCAAGGGGTCTAGGAAGATTGGAATTTCACTTGAGGGGCTTTCTTTGAGACATTGGGTGACCTCCGGTCCTATGAAAAGCAACTCATTGTGGTTTTTGAATAGTTCTTGTTCCAAATAAACAAAATAAAAACTTATGATTGCATCATTCAGCCATCCATTGCTTTGGAGAATTTTCAAATCAGATTCTCTAATGATACAGTCGTAGTAACTAAACACAACCACGTCTTCTTTTCTGGTCATTTTATATCTTCGTCAAATTCAACGCAAGGTAAACTACACAACAATATTAATTCTGTATTAATCCGATTTAATCGGAAACCTCATATCACACTTGCACGTAGTATTTGAGTAATTTGACACTTAAATTTTGACATTTCAGATCAAGGGTACAAAAGCAAGCAAAGCAGACGACTAGACGAGTCAAAATAAAAACAATGTGTTTTTGTAACTACTATTCATAGTTTAGACAAAAAGGCAGACGACATAGTGCTTAACCGAATCGCTTAGCCTAGTCATGAAGAGCGTTATTGTACTAATATTAATGTATAAGAAAAGGTTTTATGTCTGTGGATTGACGTTTGTATAAATGTCATAAAATGTGTTTGTAAAATCTTAGATATAACAATGTACGACTCCATTGTAATGTTGAACTAAACTATCAGTATTTTCAATTTGTAATATCATACAGGTAATGTTTTCAGTCATAGATTAATATATAACTATATATAGTATGTTGTAACTCTTAAGAAATTATAAAAGCTAAATCAGATAAAAAGTGTATTATATCTAAATGAGATTTTTGTTACTGTACTGTCATACAGTTCCAAAAGTAACAATCGTGTTTCATGTTTCGGCGAGGTGCCATCGTCAGACACTTCAGTCCATGAAATAAATACATTAAACCCGCTTGATTAGCTTAGTTTGTTGGTTTTTAAATACAAACAGACACTGAACACAGGACACATACAGGCACGAAATAAATAAATACTTTTTCACAGAGATAGGCCTCCCGGGACCCGTAGACACAACATTTTGCCGGTATGCGAGTAGGAACAGACTAAATAACGGAATTTGGCATTTGGGGAATGGGCAGAAGCTTGATGACAGAGTTTATTACTAAAATATAAATTCTATGATTTTTTAACTGAATATATTGTATTTTTGCAGTAGGAATAGTTGTTAAAATCACGTGTAACTCCACAAAGTCTCAATAATGCAAAAACTTCGTAGGCTATGGTACATGTTTATTAAACATTTCTTGGGCCATGAAATGAACTGGGAAGCTTGTACACATTAACCAAGACCAATTTAATTTTGTATGTCTCAAAATATAGCTTGAAAATAACTCATTTGAGCACTTAATTTCCCATTTTTTCCCAGACCCGCCCTTTGCATGGGGGTAATCTATACCCCCACCCCCGATGACGCACCCCAGAATATAGGTCTATAGGACCGCCCTTGAATCCTTGTAATATAGTTGGGAAGTTCAAAGTCTCTCCCCAAATATTTTATATGTGTGCAAAACCCCTGCAATACGCTCCATTGAAAATTAAAATTAGTGTAACAGCTGTTTTGTTTGCCGGAACAGCGGTGTTCCCACTTTTGTCTCCCCTACGACCCTGTATTAGAGGAGGCTATGTCAAACCCATGGCAGTGGTTTTTATATCCAACTAAACTAAAAATCAAATTTTGAATCGGAGTTTCAAGCAGTAGGATTATTACAACACACACCCCTTGGTTGGGGGCTCTCGCTCTACTGTAGGATTTGACCTTTATTTTTGTACCTATCGACAAAATTTCTCAACTCTTCTCCTCCTATTGGCTGACACCTGGGGTTGAAGGGTGTGAAATTACTTAGCAATGTTGAGATCTTGAGGTTAAGTTGGAAGTTTCCTTTCTTTGGTTTTTATTTTTTATTACAATACTCAATAGCCTCATGAAACTGCTGGTCCATGAAATGATGTAAAGCTATAAAGACAGTGAAGTACCATTACCGTATAAGTCGGACTAAGGACTAAGGACAATCCAGTAATGACCACACAGACAAGATAGTCAGCAGCGGCTCTAGAGATTGCAAGGCCCAAGGCAAGGTTCAATAGCCCTCTCTTAATACCTGAAATGTGTCTTTACGGGTCCAGGCACCACCTTGTTCGCCTTTAAAGTTTGCTCGAACCTCTAAATATTGCTCATAGGTCACTTTTAAAGATTGGTTTTGGTAAATCTAAAGATTTCCGTCTGACGCCCTATTTAAGGAAACATCAATTCTTACAGTTCGCAAACTATATATCAAATGTTTACTAATTAACATTTTCAAGAATTGCACTAGAATATTTAATGAAACCTCACATTCTCATAACACCAGATACTCATCTCAAGTCCACATTCAGGTATACAACACTTTTTCAACAAATTCTTTTTATATATCTCACATAGTTTTTCGAAATTTTTGTTAATACTATTCTGAATTAAATTTATTTGACGCCACATCTATTGTCTCTTTTAAACGTCTTGTTAAAGAATGGCTACTTAATTTAAATACAGACGAGGGTGATCTTATTATTACTTCATCTTACCGGCGCGACGGGATCGGCCCGCGACCCTTGACTTGACCATTGACTTGACTTTGGCCTCGACATTGACAGCACACCCTAGCCGCTCTCTCTCCGACGCTTGTATTGATATTTATTGCATGTTCTTATTATTATTGCATGTTCTTTTTCGTTGTAGAGTACTGTCACTTATTACATTACTATTTCTTAACTGCTAAAATTCATTTAATTATACTTTTCACTCATACAAAATAATAAAACTAAATTGCACCACTTTAACTTCATTCAATCTTTATAGCAACTTAGCAGACGCACAGGCACAGCCTATGTCTGCTAATTCCAGGACTAATTAGATAGGAACAACCTTTTACACATGTATATAGTTAATTAGTTACAGTTTATTAGTTCAGTTTTGCATAAAGCCCTTTTTTCTTTTGTACATTTGGCTGTGTAATTTTTATATATGTGGTGGAATAAATTCATAATTCATTCATTCATTCATTCATTCATTCTTTATGTAGGGCCGCCTCTGAAGATAATGCAGGCTGTGGTCTGCAACCAACAATGTTTGGTCTGTCGGTCCAAAGAGGTATCACTGAGACACTGAGCTACGATAAGGGGTGTTCTCTCAGCTGTTCTATTATAGGCAGTATACTTACATCCTATCACAACATGATATTATGACAAAAATTATTCTTGAAAATTCATTAGAGTATGCTTAGTGACAGATAGTTGAGATTGCGGTGAAAGTAATTAATCAAGATAATGTTGCAAATTTGAAACCAACTAGTCAAAATCTGAATTTTGTATATCTACTTCATGCTTATAATTTTGGTTGGTAGTTTGTGTAAAAAATTAGTAGTAAAAAATTAGTCTAAGGCTTAAAATGTCTTCCTAATAAAAATAATATATTACTTATACCATTTTTAGTCAAAACACAACATCGGGGTTAGTAATAGACATTTGTTTTTGTAGAGTTTTATTTTACTACTTGGTAACAAAATTAAGCTAAACATATTTAAATTATTTTCTGACAAAATACATTTTTCAGTCATATTATAAAAACTTTTTGAAGGAATGTTTATTTTTATAAAACTATTACAGTCTATATTTATTTGAATTTAAAACAATAATAAAAGTGTAAAGTGATAGTAAAAAGAATAAAAAAATATTTCCTAATCAATCTATTATCTATACAAATTTTAAAAGTTGTATTATTTTGTAATAGATTATAATCATCTGAAACGTCAAACAAATAGCCACCGATTCTTTCTCATGCAAAATAATTGTTATTAGTATCAGTAACTTTAACTGTATGGAAATGCATGACTCAGTTATAAAACCTAACATATCTGAGTTAGGCTGTAGTAAAATAGTAATCTAAGTGTAATACAATTCATGATATTGAAAATTGTAACTCTTAACCAAATTACCACTCATTTGATAAGATTTCTACATTTCAAATATCACTTTTTCTGATTTATTGCTAGTTAAATATTTACAACCACTGTACAACAAATCATTATTATGTACATTATACAGTATCATTAAGATTTGTAAAATAAATTAAATCACAATACTAATGCTTCTTCAAGATAATTAAACTTAAAATTATTTCTACTCGCTCCTAGAGACATAATCAAAAATTACGTAAGAAAGTAAAACTACACTAATTCTCTTTATTAACATGCAGTACAAATTATTGTGGATATGGAATTACATACAATAATATTGTGAATCTGGAATTAGACACCTGTTTGGATACCAAAACATGTCTACGCACCAAGTGAAAAAAAACTGATTATAGGAAAAAACAAATAATTATCTGTTAACTTCTCGGTAAAATTAAAAGTACAAAATAATATTGATAAATAAACCAAATACTTGTAGCAAAACAGTTGACTTGACTGATTTGCCAAATAAACGTTTTGGGTGCAAAAAGTGACTGAAAATGATTCATAGTACGAAATTGTCTGAATGATTCTAGAAAAAGTTTCCTTCACTCACTCAGTAAATACTGTGGAGTGTGGAGCTTTATGACTATGTTTAACTGGTACGTTTTGAAGGCAGATAGTTTTTGAGTAAGTTACAGATAGTTTTGAACACATTATAAGCTTTTTATTTTATGCTTCAAAATTTACTACCTTCATATATGACCTTAAAGAAAGGTCATAACTTAATGAAAAGAAAGAGAAAACTCATCAACAATAAATTTAAAAAAAATCTACAGAACCAGCTCAATAATTAATTGTAACTGTAAAGATAACTATCAAATAATGTATACTTAATGCACCTTGGTGTATAAATGCTTACGGTACAATATACTTCAAACTGAGATAATTAATTTAAAACTAAAGTAATTTACAACTAATATTAAGATGATCTACACTGTAGCGTTGTAAGTGGTAACATATTGCCTGGCTCATCACAAACCTTGTATAAAATATACATCAATCCAGGAATCCAGGACTTTGGAGCAACTATATCAGGTTGTAATTTCTCTTCGTAATTTCTAAACAGTAGATTTGTTTTGAAACAAAATACAAATCACATCTTTTTATTACTATAACTATCATATACTACTATATTATTAGTATAACGAAGGTCACTTCTTGAATAGAAGACTGCTCCCATTTTTGTGGTCGCAGCATATAAGCCACTGAGCGTTTGGATTCTCCTGATAAATTGGTAGCAGAAGTGCATTAGGGTCTATTCTTCGTTGGCCTGAAAGTAAAGATTACTTTTTAAGAAGACTGGCACAGTACAGTGTAATTCTCTGATAATTTCCTTCATTTCAATAGCCAACACTTAGCCTATAACAATTATCTAAATCTAAATACATGTTTAGTAAAGAGAAAAAAAATCTTACTCCACCATCAAATTAATTTTCCTTTCATGGTCTTAATTAAATAAACAAAAAATGTTACTATTTGCTTTATTGATTGTTTTATTTCAACCCCAATATGAAAATTTAAATAAGATAATTTCTTCACTCTGTATATGAAGATAAATGGCTCATTTTCGTAGAGCTGAGCTTTACGAAAACGGTTGATTTAATATTTATATGATTTTGCTTGTCCTCAATATTACTTTGCCTGTCCAAAACAATACTTTGCCTGTCCCAAAGAATACTTTGCCTGGCCCAAAGAATACTTTGCCTATCCTAAACAATATTTCGCCTGTCTCAAAGAATACTTTGCCTGTCCCAAAGAATACTTTGCCTCTCCTAAACAATACTTTGCCTGTCCCAAAGAATACTTTGCCTGTCCCAAAGAATACTTCGCCTGTCTCAAATTAAGATTCTGTTTAGCTCAACAGGAGAACTAATAATGTATGTATTATTTTATCACGAGAAATAATGTTCCAACGTACTTTTTAATACATTGTAATACAGTACTACTACCCTAAGACAGAAAATTACTAGACTATGGAATAATATTCAATGTACAAGAGATGAATAAGGTCATTTTGAATTGAGTTGAATTGAATTAGAATATTTAAAACCAATAAATGTTGCGTGACCATTTGCACCGTGATTAAAAGTTTAGTTCACTACTTGCATAGAGAAAATAATTTAATATAGACTGACAGCAGTGCTGCGGTAAGTATATATTCTAGCGTCCATCGCTAGGAGTGCAGTGTAGTTTTGGGGCACACTGCTGCAGCGTCAAGCGCTATAGAGCGTTGCCATAACCACAATAGTTTCATTCTGAGGCTCAATAGTTATTTATGCACTCGGCTTTGCCTTGCTTGTAAAACAATATCTTGCCTCAGGGACTAAAAGTGAAATATACTAATGCTACATTACAGCTGAATACTTCCATTCTACAAACATTGCAAAATAGAAAATAGAAATAGGAGCACATTATGAGAGATTCATTCAACTCAAGTAAACGAAATCGGCTACAGCTGATCAATATAGATGGGATGACATACCGATGTTGCCTCCCATCTCGTGTAGGAAGTGAGTCTGCAGAGCCATGTCCGTGTCAGCTGTAGCCAGTAGACAGCTGAGGTTGCCGTTGGGCGCAAGCTCGGACAACGCTCTTGACTTGTCCTTCCGCCCCAGCTTGACTGCACCGCCCCCGTGTGGTACCTGCACCTCCATCTTGCTTGACTGTTCTATCAGCCTACAACAGATAAGTAGATGAGTAAAAATATTTTTAAAGAAATTTCATCTTTGCTCATTGACTCAGTTTCACATAGTGTATGTTAACAGAATGGCAAGTTTGAGAGAATACTACCACAATGTTAATTAATAATTAAACACAAATAAACATTTTCAAGAAATCTAACCTTAAATAGCTCAATTTAACCAGGGTTATCTGCCAACCAGAAAACTGGAAATTGTTTGTACATTATAATGCTTGGGAAAAAGCCATTGAATTTCATAAAGAACCGTGAAATTTGGAATAATCGAAAATAGCCTATGGCTGAGCCTATTCTATTACCATATTCCATGGTTATCCTTTAGATTGTTGTGTAGTATGAAGAATATTCTTGCAGCTATTGTAATTGGTTTGAATAAATAAATAGAATTTGATCGCAGGAAATGATAATAATGTTATTGTGCAAGAGACAATCACTACATGTTACAGTATTGTGGAAACTATGACCATTTACAGTCATAAAAATACATTAAAATTTTGTTTGTCATTATGAGTGTCTAGAATCACTTAGGTACAGCACTACTAATCACTTATAGAAAATGACCACAACAATTCTTTAACCCTAAGCTGTGGAGCTCCATGTTGCCACACTGACCTGAGCACCACCTCGCCAGCCGTGGTAGTAGGAGTGAGCACCACAGGCACGTCAGACATGAGGAATGACGGAGCACTCACTCTCACCACTCCCTCCTGGAAGTCTACCTCGTTGTCTATCTTGCGAGTGATCGGATCCCGACCTGTCCTGCGACCCAGCAGCCTCTTCATCTGCAATCACAGTTGGAAAACTCATATGAAACTGTTGGAAGAAATACGTTTTTTGTCAAAGGAAACAAATATTTCAGCAAATTACATGCTGCAGGCTCTACAAAACCTTGACTTTTCCTGATATTTCCCTACACTTTTAGAAGCAGCTGTTTCACTCATAGCTACTTAGTAGAAGCTAGAAAGAAGCATTATGTGACACTAGATAGGCAGTCACTTGATCAACAGTTAGCCTGTAGTAACCTGTTGCCCAATCCAATAGTATAATTTTTGGTCCTTTTTAGTTCAAGTTTTTTTATCATTGTGACTGATGGTCTGATGGACTGATGGTGTGTGGTTGTGGTTGGTCTTTGTCACTTCGCTGCCCTTTGAGCACTTTTTGATGAATTCTTTACTTCAAAAAATGGTTTGAATGACCAAAATACAACAGAGTAGCATTACTAAATAGCTAATAAGTAGCCACTGAAATGTTTCAAACTAGTAGCAGCTGCTTAGTGTAACACCTAAAGACAAAATTAATTTGAACTACTTGATTATCAAGCATTCCAGGTGAAGAAAACATATGTCGTCTGTCTTCTGGCGACCAAAATCTGACAGTAGTCCTACACAATTGACATAAATTCACTTTTTAGCACAACTCAACCAAAATACACATTAACTGCAGCTCAGTTTACCGGCTTATTCTCCTTGTGCTTGTAACGCTGTTGTTCGTTCAGTCTGCGTAGTTGAGTCAGTAGCTGCGGAGGCACTAGAAACAGAGAGTCGGCCATTTGCAACATCGTCTCTGTCAGTCTGCAGCAAACGGCTGCGTAGTTTATTTGTGTCTTCAGCTGGCCCTTGTCTGCAGTCACGAACCTGACAAATTACACAAGTTAGTGTATGCTGTGGTTGTGATGTCCAACTAGGCTAACTAACTGGTTACACTGTTCTATGAGATCTAATAGAAAGATGGTACAATATTACTAGATTAGGCTCTTGTTCATCCGGATGGGCCTTGTCTGGACTCCCACTAGTCCAGATTGGCAATCGTGATTTTTTTTTGTTGCACAGTACAGTATAAGTCCGACTATCCGAGCTAAACGGATCGAGACTACCTTGGATAATCAAAAACACGGAGGTAAAAATGGATAAACGGTGGAATTACATTTGCCCAGCTATCAATACTGTGGACCTGGGACAAAATTGAAAAACTACTAGGTATACAGTACTATATTTGACTTACTCTCGATAGTCCGGATTTATAGAGATCCGGACCGGACGTCCGCCACATTAGTCCGGATGAGCGAGAGTCTACTGTACCATTGTATTCAGAAACTTAAACAAACATTAGGACTTCTTGGTAAAACAGGCTTACCTGAATGATAAAGAATTCATCAGGCACACAAGTAACACAAAAACATGTTCCACAAGAATCAAAATATTTCGCTGTCACTAACTTCCACTTCCAACTAAGGAAGATGTGAGTTGGAAAAAGAGAGATGGGAATAGATAATGTTTCACAGCTGAAAATATTGTTATTGGTCAGTTAAATTTTCTAATATTTTTTTCTAATGATAAGTTTATTATGTTTCTAGTGCGAGAGTGGACTCTTTACCATTCATGTAAGCCTTCAACCCTAACTAAATCGCAAAACCCCTATGTGGTGACTATGTTACCTACTAACACTAACATGACAGTTCCAAGTACCTGGGAGGGAAGAGAGAGGGAGCAATGATCATAGCCACGTTGTGAGCAGACATCTTGTTGTGAGGCTCGTTGCTGATGACACGGTTGAGAAACTTGAGCAGACACTGTAGAGTGGCTCTGTTGGGAGTCGGCAGCAGCAGAATCAGCAAATTGAGCGCACGACTGCACTCAGCTAGACCTGGGGACAAGACAGGTGTCAGGGCACTCAAACTACACACAATATTAGGTTGGTGCAACTTACATTATGCAAATCAACTCTTTGCTATTTAGCATATTTTATGTCACATCGACGGTCTTAGTAATAAAAACTAAGGGAGATAATAGAATTTTAAACCATAAGACACATTGTGAGCTGCTTATTCAACTACCTACTTACTTTTTTAATACAAATATGCAGTGGTGGGGAAGCTACTTTTAAAATGTAGCTAGCTACAACTACTGCTACATTTCCAAAAAAGTAGCTTAGCTACAGCTACAGCTACAGTACCGAAAAAGTAGTTAGCTACAACTACAGCTACAATGAAATGTAGCTACAGCTACAATTTTAGCTACTTTTCCAAAGACGTTACTTTTTATTCCACGCACATTAGGTAAATATAAAATTAATTGCAACTACATTTTCATTGAACAAACATTTAAACAAAAAATGTCAGTTTATTGTATCTAACATTACTTGGAAAACAAATTATTCCTAGATTGTATTTAATTTGTTGGCATTATAAACCAACAGATCCAAATAGTAAAGTGTCCCATCATATTTAATACTTATTTTTAAATATTGCTTTATTTTAAAGCACCTTATTAAGTTCAAAGGACATACAACCAAACTATATTTTAAAAGCTCATTTTATTTCTTTAATATAGATTCATTTATAGATGTTTTATATCAACAATTAAGACCAATAAAACAGTAAAACGAGTATTTAAAAATACTTTTTGTGTTACAGAGCCTAGCCTACTGAAATTGGAGTTTATTGCCTTTCTTTACTTTTAATGTTAAAAACGACATTGCTATAACTTTTATCCACAGTGATAAGTTGTTCTATGAATAATACTTTTCAATGTCATGAAATCGTCCTTTATTGTCATTATGCATAGGGAAAATTGTGCTTCAACCTAAATGGTACAGAAAACAGTATTAGCAACTTATCCTGAAATCGGCTTTTAATTTAAACATTTTGAAATTTGTAAAGTAAAAATAACATGTAGGCCAAGTTGGCTATAGTAGGCTTGTTCTTGCAAGGACTAAACATATATATTCCTAATAATTGAACTTGGAACTTGGTATTCGTCTTAAACCATAGCATAGCCTAGGAATAGTCCTATTTAAGAGCTGTTAGCAGGACCAAACTATGCTATTTTTTCAATGTAAGTTTCATGTTATATGGAGAGTTTTTCGTTACCTACAATTTATCATGTAGTCTAGGCATATCTTAAATCTCATCAGGTAATTTCCTCTTTGTTAATTTAGTAAACCTTTGAAAAATCTTAGTCCTAATCTAACCAAGGAAGGGCTTGTGATGATAAACCACAATCAACAGCTGAAGCAAAGGTTGAAAGACCAGCTTTCTCATTATTTTAAGGTTTAGTGTTGGTTTCCATTAAAACCCAAGTTGAAACACTATCGATATAATAAAGAAACTAAATTGATTACTAATTTTCCTGTCAATCACTTGCAAGCATTCAATAGCTTCTCTTGTCACCGGTAACGTTTAAACGTCGTCTGCATCTAGCGATTTTATTTTATCTGACAGTAATCATAGAGTAGTAAATTAAGGAAACAAGAGCCAAAAATGTGGATAACACCCATTTAATGGCCTCCATGTCCACAATACGTTGTAATAGGGAATGAAACGGCTGCAACCAGCTGTATGAAACCAAGAAAGTAGGCCTAATTTTTTTTGAAAATCTCAGTTTGAAAGCGGTTGTTTCACGTAAGGTTGAGGTTATGATAAAAATCACTATCTCAAACAATGTTAATGTAGCGAGAAAAGTAGCTAAGATTCCGCTACAACTACTTTAAAAATGTAGCTAGCTACTGCTAAAGCTACAAAATCTTAAAAGTAGCGTAGCTACAGCTAACGCTACAAAAAAAGTAGCGCGCTACTGTAGCGTCGCTACTTGTAGCGTGCTACTTCCCAACACTGCAAATATGTTACATCTGGTGTATAGATACTATGTCTACTTCAGTATCAAAACGTCAATGTTATGAACTTTTTGTATGCTTGGAACTATTTGTTCTCGGGTAAGTAAGCTGTGTCATTCATTCTTCCTTAATGTTACCTCTAGATGTTTTTGTCTTTTGTAGTTTAAATCAAAAGATAATACAGTTGATTATTGAAAATGTCCAAATACTTGAAGTAAACAAAAAATAAATTATAAATAAAACAGAGAACTTAGAAGGCAATACCATAGACAAAAAGAATGAAATATAGACTGTCAGCCGTGCTGCGGTTACCATGGTTACCATAAGTTCCGGCGCACACCGCTGTCGTTTACGTAGCGCGTACGCTGTAACTACCGTGGCGATCCCAGCGGTGTGCGCCAAACTTATGGTAACCGCAGCACAGCTGACGGTCTATATTTAATTCTTTTTGTCTATGGCAATACTTACTGTGAGCTTGTGTGAAGATGTCGACCAGCTGGTTGGTAAGTAGAGACTCAGGTAAGTCTCGTATGAGCCGCTTCAGCAGAGTAGCCAGGTCGTGTACAGGCGCACGCAGCAACGTCGCGTCTACACGCTCAGGCGCAGTGTACAGGTCCTTCTCTAGCACATCACACAGCGCCTGTACCTTCTGTTTGTGAGCCGCTACACGGAGAATACCTTCCTCGTGGAGACCTCTCCTTTCCAACTCTGCCAGCACCTGTACAAAAAATTCTCAATATTTTTCTAGAGCAAATACGTTTGAAATATTGAGAATCATATTTGTGGTTGAGAATCATATTTTTGGTTGAGTCTATTTTACTTAGTGTGGACAAGCAATATACTATATCAACTAAACAAGCAATAACAAATAAATAAATAGCTAAAGGCTAAAGGCAACTTCATGAAACGCCACTTAATTCAGTATTTATTTTCAGGCTTATTTACTTTTTTTCAAAAACTGTACCTTTCAGCACTAAAATCCAAAATTTATTGGAAATGCTCTCCTAAAATCTTTTGGAGGAATGTATAGTGCTGATTTACAATTGCAAAATTGTTTGTAGTGTCTATATAGTATTTTTGTCTGAAAATGTCATAACAGTTACTCAACTACATACCTTTTGAAAGACTAGAGGTACGTTGTGAGGTTCAGATGTTATTTGCTGGTCCTTTTCTAACAAAGATGCCAAGGAAGCACCAAATATCACAGGGCCATCTGTAAAATAAATTTGTATTTTGTTACCACTCAAATTATTTATATAACTGTTTACAAATCTACAAAATGAAAAACAAATATTCAATTCAAGAAATAAAATTAAGTGTAAACCTGCGAGAAAGGCCTGAGTCAATTTTCTGTTTCTACTCCCTCAGAAATTAAGTTTATTTTGGGATTCTGAGAAGCAGCCAGATAAGGGTAGGACTGGAAATCCCAATGCTGAATATTAGTTTTCTGCTGTATATCCTTTTAAACATGAGAAGACAACAAATCTAATCAATACATTAAAAATAGTTATTTCAATTTCAAAAGAAAGTATAAGAAACCCCCCCGAATCTTAATTTTAACCCAAAGTCCTTAAAAATTGATTCAGATTTCTGTAAATCAGAGCAATCCCAGCCCTTCCCTAAGTAATTCGATTCGATTTCGATTTCGTTTTGTCATAAGAGCAAGAAACTCCCTGACTGCTAACCCGGTACCTATAATTAAACATACCCGGGCCCCATGATGTAGGCCGAAGCATACGCACCGACCTTTGGTACACCATGGGAGGATGACTTAAGGTCATCAAGCTCACCGGCTGCCGAAGCAACCCTTCGGAGAGAGGGTTGCCCCTCAATCCTAACCAGGGATACCGGCTACTTGTTTAAGCGTCACTTCACCTGGGTTCCCCCAAGTACGGAACCCAGAAGGACCATAGTGAAATGCCCTGACGCATTTAGTGCAAGCAACACTCGGGACCTATCCAATCCCTGACAGGCAAAACCCGCCATCAAAGCCAGGAAGAAGGGGACCACCAGCAAGCTGATGGGAGGAACCCCAACCACCTATTTACACCACTACCCGATCGAGGCCTTACCCAGTTGCTGGGAAACCAGAGGTGACCAAGGCGATAGATCCCTGAACACCCCCAGCGGGCTTGAACCCAGCACCCGATCTACATCGTTTGCCCATCAAGCCCAACATCACTGCCAGGCCATCAGGGTTTCCCAAAAGGAGGCAGGAATAGAAGTGGGTCCCACCCGGATGAACCTATCCACCAAAGGTGGCGACACCCTTTGCTCAATTGAGGTTCCAGGGAGAACCCCCCACACTCTAGATAACCATACCTTCCGGTCCCTAAGTAATGGAACACAAGTCAAAACTGAACTACTTCATATCTTCCGTGTATTAAACTCCACATACAAAATCAATTATAAACGTTCTCATCTGCTGCAAAGTCTGCTAAAAGTATGAATCTATTTAAAAGGTCATCATACAGATACTACCTAAGCTTTTCATTGCCAATTTTGTTAAAGACGCTTCCGCTTACCCTCTTTCCGTTTCCGCTTGTGTGGTTTCCGCTTCGGGAAGCGTATTCCGCTCTGGTCCAACATAACTGTCAGCTCCAGGAAGGCCAGAGGCTGCAGCTTGACTAGATCTTCCTCCCCGAGCCACTCCACCCACGTTCTGCCTTGCAAGTCCTCGCTCTCCTATTGAGTGTTTCTTGATTAGATAGTTGTGCACTGACTTTTAAAAAACTAACGGATCCAAACTGTTCACAGTGCATACAAAATCAGTCCAATATATTATTGAGATAGATTTAAATTCCTTTTGACTAAATTTTGTTACCAAATGGTTTGATTATAAATAGGAAATGTAGAAACTGGTCATTATTTGTAACTTATGGTAATCAGCTAAATTGTCTGGGTATACAAGACTTGTATATAGTAGATTGTAGTGGGTAATTACAATAGCACTTTTTCATTACAATTTCCTTTCCACCAAACATTGCAAGGTAGAGCAAGTGATAAAAAATTATAAACAATCAGTTATTGGTATCCTTTGTATTACAGATATTCACTAATCCAGTACATTTGATATTTTGGCAGTTTTCGATACCTGAGTACCGACTTAAAATGGATGTTATCTGGAGGAAAGTGTACATACCGTTTAAATGAGAATCAAAAGAAATTTTGAGGTATTATGTAAATGTTCAGAGTACGCCTTATCAGCTGTTTGCTCTCTCTGTTGAACGCGCAAGAAGGCTTTCGTTTGAAAAAGTTCCTCAAATGCAAGTTGACAAAATGCAATATGCGACTAAATGTGCAGATTAATCAATAAATGTGCAGATTTATTAATATTATATTATGTTACTAGTCCTGAAAATAGGTGTTTACCGGACGAGTGTGGAGACTTCATCTCGCACGGGATTACCATACGGGTATGGTAAACACATTTTAGACGATGATTTCATAACACTACATTACATCTTCCACTCCACAATCTGTTAAAATGTTTTACTTTTAACCACACAGATGTTTGCTCACCTCCATCTGCAAACAAGTGATTGAGTCACCCGCCCAGGTCTCCTCAAACCCGAGATGTTCAAGCGACGCAGTCTGGTGGATACTGTGACAACTACTGCCACTGGATCTGCGTGGTTCGCTGTACAGACTGTCCTGACTGCGTGTCATGCTGCGTACGTTGTCCCTGAGAGCCATCATGAGTAACATAAGAAAAATTGTATTTACAGTAATGTGAGCATAACCTTGGAATATTGATAGAACTAAAACTAGAAGTTACATTCCCGTGTTGTAACCAGATGTTTAATCAAAATGGACCTAGTTGAAACGAGCCAACAGATTGCAATTATTTAAATTACTAATTTCTGTAAAAAAGTAGACTTTTTAATCATTATTTTAGTTTGAGCAATTCTTGACGTACACTACAGTGACATAGGCAACAGCAGATCTATATAGATGGGATGTCTACTTCAGTCTACCTCTTGTCGTGGTCAGGTGTAATGTGCAACTCAAGAGGAGTTCACCAGTCCGAGGCAATGCTTGTATTTATCATCGGTCCCTCAGGATTGAACCAGTAGTCTCCAGATTTGAGGGCACTATACCACTCGACTACCCACATAATTATTGTTCTTTGTTCTCATCTTGATGGGGAAGCTCACCTTAAATAAAGGGATGATTCTTTATTCCCATATCTAATCAGGCATTTCACTTAAGCTTTGGTATATTTTACTATGAAGATGTCAACCATTTGTTTTACAGGAGTTTAAGCTTGTGTACACAATGTGAGAATATGTACTTGATCACTAATTAGCAACACAAAGTATTTATGCATCACTACTCACATCTGATGAGGAGGTGAATCTCCGCTGTTGTGTAGATTTGCCGGGTCACTATCACTACGCAGTCTGTCCCTCGCTGCACAGCTGCGGTCGTTGAAAGTGTACCTCACTGAACCCAGCCTGTGGTAGCCCAGCATCTTGATACCATCTGCTGAACATTGTTGTAAAAATTAATATTTCTACTTATCCTGTAAAAACTACAGCTGTTAAATGTAGAATAATAATGTAGTTAAAAAAGACCCGTTAAAAAAATAGATATGTTATGATAAGTTTTATGATCCAAAGCTCATCGTGGTTAGTTGACTTACCAAATGAATAAAGAAGACCAATGACAACATTACAAATAAATATAAACTTAAGTAACACTAAGTACTAGGTTTTCTGGATACGACTGCTTCAGAATACCAGGAGAAACACTAGTTGCTGACGTTTCCGCTTTGTCGCAGATAGCAATATCAAAACATTATAAAATACTAAAAGAGGGCTCAAAAGGAAAAACATCTACAGTAAGTGTAAGCAGTGGCGGTTCTAGGACCTTGTCAAGGGGGAGGCCACCAGGGGGCTTGGGGGGTGTGGAGCACCCCCCAATAACGCAGGGGGGTCCGGGAATTTTCAAAGCCGTTTGGTGACTTTCTAAAGCCATTTTTAACACCTAAAACCGAACCCAATTGTACATAAACTCCCATTTCACCTGTTGTTTGTCATGAGCAAATAGACATTTTAAAAATAAACTATGACGATTGCATTCATGAATTTCAAAACACACTGTAGACTACGGCCATATCCTCCTAAAAGCCTTTGGGTGACTTTTTTCAGCCAGTTTTAACGTCTAGAACTGTGTGCAAAACCTCCCATTTCCCAATTTATTTGTCATGAATAAGTAGACATTTTTAAAACTAACTATGACGATTGCATTCATAAATCTCAAATCATATTGTAGGCAATGGCCATATCTTATCCTCCTAAAAGCTGTTTACTAACTTTCTAAAGCCATTATTAATGTCTATATCTGTGTCCAACTGTCCAAAAACCTCTCATTTAACATTTTATTTGTCTTTGTCATGAGCAAGTAGACATTTTACTGTACTACGAAGCCATATCTCCTAAAAGCCTGTTTAGCCCCTAAAAGCCCCCCCCCCCCCCTTGGAACCGCCACTGAGTGTAAGAAGAGGCGCTTTAAGGGAGAAGAAAATGGAAGAGGCTTATCCACACTCTGGGAACACCTGAACTGCTAAATAAATTATGTTGGTTTGTTCTAAGTTGTACAAAAAAGTCTGAAGAGGAAACTCATGATAATAGTAATGTTTGGAGTAAACATTTATCAAAATATCCAAAGGTTTTCTGGTTTAAAATCACTTTTTCTGCATCTCAACCAACCTGTTTCACTTGCAACAATATCTGCTCCATATCGTAGGTTGGCAGCCCTAAACAGATTGCTGTGTACAGGCGCACTGGGCAGTCTGCGCACTTCTCTGCGCGACTCATTCCTGCGCACAGCCACAGCTGTTGGATCCTCAAAGATCTGTGTCAAGCTCTGCGGTGGAGTTATTTGCCTAAAACACAAAAAATAATTTCAATTTTCAAATAATACTATGTTACTGTTTGTGTGTGTATAAAACTAGATGAATTAGTTCACGAATGTGTTCTAGTTGTGTTAAAACCACAATAAATACAAAATTTTTAAAAATAAAAATATACAAACTCATTTTCATGAATTATTTTTTTAACTAATTGTCAAGTGCATAAAATTGTAAAGGGTACCTCTAGAACTCGTTTGGATACTGTTTATATTTTCACAATGAGTACTAATTTTAAAACAAGTAAACTAAGCTTCTCTTGGTGTGGCGTCAGCTACATCGAGCTACTTACGGACTCGTATTGTCTGCCTCCTGATCGTGATATATAGTGGGAGGCCAGGGTGAGGGGGGGCTGGGGGGTGCAGAATCCAGAGAGTCTGGGGTAGCACTGCGAGATCTCGACCCTGTACTTGAGTTCTGGAATAGACAAACATTGTCAATCTACAATTTGTTGAATACTATTACATAAATCATTTTTGTATACAGTTTATTTGGTCTCGTAAACAACATGAACTGAATCATTGTTAAAACACTTTTGAAACAATTAAAGAGAGAAAATACAGTGAAAGAGAAATTTATCCACCCCCATGGGCTGGTAGTGGGTGTAACGCTCGAATGCGTATAACACCCCCTTATTTTTAACACAGGTATTATTTATTATTTAATTATTTCATCCATGGTTTATTTAGTTTTTCTGAGATGTTATAATGGTCTATTTTGGTATCTATACTTAGTAAATGTCAAAAAGGGATCTTAAAAAGACTAGACATGTTTACAAAAATATTCTGGAAATCTTTAGATTGGATTCCATTTGAAGGAGGAATAATTTCAAAGTATTCTCTTAAGATTGATTATGTTGCTTTTTAAATTACAAGCTACTATATTTAAAAACCAGTTAACTTACTAACTATTTAAATATTGAACTAAATTAATTGTATTGTAAACCCCTATGAATGACAAAAGAGGTTGAACACTGCAATAATTTTTTTGTCCTTATCCTATAACAGTTTTCAGCTTTGAATCGTTTCTACCTTATGTTAATGAGTTCATTTCATAAAATGTGTAACAATGTTATCTGGTATATACCCAGTTTTATCTCCTTGTAGCTTTACGGTTCAAACAATCAATTTCTAACATCACCCAACCAAAACAAAGGTGGTACAAATTAACACTAACTCACAACTACCTTAGTGAATATTGTACAGTTCACATAAGGAATTAAAATATAAACACTTTAAAAAGTGACTTTTTACTTGAAACGAAAATGAAATCATCACTTCCTACCGTTATAGAACAGTCCAAAACAATGAGAGAACACCTAAACGTCTTGGAGAGAAACCGCATGTTGAGTGAATCTAATAATACACCGATGTCTGTTGGAGCGTCCGACGCACTTCACACAGTAACAAAAATATAATGCAACTTCAACTATATTTAGAATACAACACACATCTTCAATCAAAGTAGTTACTATTTTTTGTTAATGTGCAATACAATTTAGATTTTGATGAATTATGTCTTTTGAAGTTGATGTAAACAATTTCTTAATATTATTAGTTCATAGTAAACACCTATTTATTAGGGTTTAAGAAATGCATTATTTTAAGGCTACATCTGGTCTTTGTATTACAAAGTTCTACAATTAATTGATACAATGGAATTATGTTAGGTTATATTTAAGTACCTATCTTCGAGTGTAATATGGTAGTCAAAATGAAATCCCCTATTCATCAACAACTAAAGGGAAGGTAGTGTTTAATTTTAAATTAACTACAGGTGTTTGAAAACCAATAGGTCTTACAGTTACAGTTTTAATGAAAAACAATGCAATAAAATTTACCTTGTAGCTGAGCTCAGTTACTTCGTTGAATTTAAGGTGAATTCATCCAGTTTGTTGTGTCCCAGATAAACATTAACATAAAAAAATCACTGGAATCATAAAGGGATAAGAATTATGTAAAAATGAGTGTGTAGTTTAATTCCATCGGCAATTTTCATGTATTTTTTTGGAACAGTCCAAACCCTGGTCTTGGTGGGGAGGGAGCTGGCGTAGTGGTTAGTTAAAGCGCGGGACTTCAGTCCCAGAGGTCCCAGGTTCGATCCCCGCCAAGTCACCAATGGATTTTATCTAAGTGATAATGCCGCAACCCCTAGGTCTAGCCTGAAGTAATGTGAAAAACAATCCCAGGCTCGTGCCTAGCGTCCTAGGACCATAAAAAAAGTCTTGTTACTGTCTAATGTCAACCTTTTTTGTATAGTACAGTGTACATTGTAATGAATTAATGTATTAATGTATCACCCAATAACAATGCCAAATGCATCTAGTGATCATTCAACAAAGTTTACCTCGTAGTCCCTAAACACGTCTCTAATGTCAGGCCGCCTGTGCCGAGCCCGGTGTTGTTTCTGTCGCTGGCGTATGGTGTGGTTGAGGGTGTCCACGCGGCGTCGCACCGCCTGCGCCTGGTGAGGGGCCATCAGCGCCAGAGTGTTGTCTAGTTCCGTGTCCGACACCTCCTTGCCCTCCAGGAACGGCTCACGCAGACGGCCCAGTCCTGCGGCCACCAGCCACTCCGTCTCGTCCAACCCCTCGCCTTCCACCTCTGTAACATACAGACATCTCAACTGCGGGAAATGCATTCTCAATTGTAGCGGTTATTTAAGAAACAGCATAAATTGATTGGCCAAATTGCAAACTTTAGATTCTTTCCATGTAAATAGTTTAGCAGAGAAATTTAACCAATTAACTGATTCAACTGTCGAAGAAATTATTGACTCAATAGTTCATTAACCTTTTGCCACCAAGATTAATGCAGTGGCTACAGTAATCATACTTGAGTTAATAATTAAGTTATTAAGCCAATAATCCTTTTGGTGCAAATAATATACTCGTAGTTAAATAGGTTTTAGTAAGATTGTACCTACATAATTTTTTCATCATACTGTCCAGAAAACAGCTGGTTTTAGTTCTCTAAACCGTCCTCAAAATCATCGTTTTCAGGTAACTTCAAATAGGGAACATAAAAAACACATGTTAAATCTTTGGTTCGCTAACCTCAACGTTTGTTAATGGCACATTATAAATGTTGTTTTCTACTTGAAACACATAAATTACAAAGATAAAACAACTTGGAAGAAAGTGTTTCTGATTTTGTGTTGGAAGAGTGAAGGAACCCACCACCACCCGGTGGAAGGATGGTTCTAATATGTTGAGTGGTAAGAGATTTGAATATGGAATACCTTCTGGTAAAGAAAATGGTTCCTACAAGTAAAATTGGAAATCAGATTAGAACGGATGAGCTAATGTAATGATAAAAAATATTGGTAAAGATACATAACTTTGACTCAATCTGGCGCATAGTTTGGGAATATGAATGAAGGGTAAACGTAAAAAAATGGCAGTGTTCTTATCAGTGATAAATAAATAAATTTGTGATCTAATTCACAAACATTTTTTTAATTTGTCATACTTTAATTTAAAATACCAGAAAAAAAACCTTCCTATCACAGAGATCAAATATATTTTATATGAATGTGGACATTTTTTGCACAGAGTCAATGTTCAAGCAAAATAGATTATGACATATATTATGATGTATATAGATTATGATGAAATAGATATGATTATACCTTTCGCAGATAATCAGGTGATATTTAATTGAACTTTTTAAAAACCAACCAAGTAAAATACCAAGTTAGATAAGAAGACAAAGCTTTACTATAAAAATTTATAAAAATAATAGATAAATACTTAAGGAATCAAGACAGAGTTTTTGCTAGAAAATTAAGAATTGAGAAAAAACTTTAGGGACTGACGTTGAAATAAAAAAATGATAAGCACCTTTGTCAATGAAATAAACTACTGATTACAAACATTTTACAGCAAAAATCAACTGAATTTAAATTAAATGTTGATTTACCACTTTCATTGCAGATACCAACTCTAAAACATATTCACCTATAAACACGGCCCTCGAGCAGCAATTCAATCATCTTTTTAACCATACTTCTACATACACTACAACACATCTACAGCTTTCTAATTCTTCATGTTTCCATAAGCAACCACACGTATAAGACCCGAAGCTATTACCACTTTGGGTCTACCAACATTCCGAGCCTCCGGGTATCCATTATCCAATCAATATTACTCAGGTTCCTTTTGGAAGAGCTGCAGGACAGGGGGGGGGAAGGGGGAGGAGATTGTACAGCTTCATGTCGGAAGATGACAAAGGATCTGTCGGATGATGATTGGGGTTTACATATTCATGGGTCGGCAGTTATGTAAGGCGTCAGTTGAGCAACTCACGCTGCGGCATTACCATAGCTAATCTGTGGCCTACTGCGACCACCAACCTGCTGGTCTAGTTATGTGATATCAATAGAAAGTGGATCAACTGCGACAGTGTTGTGTGGTGTCAATAGAAAATAGACCAACTATGATGGTAGACTAATTGTGTGGTGAAATGTAAAATACCCCCGCCGCAGAAAACCTGCAGACTAAGCCAATTTCCATTTGCCTGCATTGGTATACAATTAAATCTATTTAATGAATATTATGTTTAACATATACCTAGGTTTACTGCTACAGGGTGGCTAATAAAGTGTGTTTTTAGTAAAATATTAATTGCTTAGTTTAAAATGTGCTTAGTTTAAAAGATGCAATTTCAAATTAGCTCAAAAATATATATAATTTTTAACAACTCGAGTCTACGCACAGACCACTGAGGTCCATGTAGACTCATTTCCTTATCTATTACATTAGTTATTATTCAAGCCGGAGCAAACATTCAACTAGTATTTAAGTTTTTACTATTATAACTTTATAAATTTAATTTTACTAGAATTAATTTACGTAATCAATTTACTCTATAATGCTTCAAGACTATATATATTTGTATTTTATTTTTTTTTTTAAATTGTAAACTTTTATATACTGTGGAAATAAAATTGATTTGATTTGATTTGAAATAAATAAATTTGCCAAGTTTGATCAAAATAACAAGCAAAATACAATATTTAAAAAAATTCTCTGTATAAATAACATGGGAATTTTAAAATTTAATTTTTTTTAATTTTCTCCATAACTAATAACCGCACAAAACACTTCAAAATACTAAATTATTTGTATTTTTAAGCTCTTAAAATGGTCTAGAGAGAAATTGGGAAATTTTGTGTTTTGATGGTCTAAAATGAGAAACCCCAATTTTTACCCCATAAAACCCAAATCAGTGTTTTTGGCCTCTGGGGACTTCAAAATGAAAAATTGAATCAGTCCTGGGCTCAAGTCTTACTACGAGACCTACGGTAATAGCTACGTCCCTATAGGTAAATTCACTAGTTTTAAAAAAAATGTGACTTTTGTATCGTTGAGTACAATGGGGCTTGGAAAACAACAAGTGAACAGATGTTACACAAAGTATAAGAGGACGCCAACCTCTCAAAAAGAGGAAAAACTAATTTTATTAAATATAATCCACACCTAAAATTTCACTACATAATGCATATTAATAGACTTTCATTTGGCCTAAACACTTAAACTTGTTTAACTGATCCATGAATATGGAGTGTAAGCACTGGAGGCAAGGTCACTGAGTTGTCACTTGTTCATGGTGATTTAAATTTCAAATTTCTAGTGATGCAAGACAGATCAAATCAATTATCATCACTAAACTCACACTATTAGTGGATCCTAACAACAAAATGTAAAAATACTAAATACAAAATGTAACAAACAGTTGAGCATTATTTGTTGTTAAAGAGAAAAGCTATTTATTGGTTGAAATCTATTAACTAATTTAGAAAAATCTGTGGTACTGATAATTAAAATAAATATATTTTAATGATCCTGTTAATTAATTTTAGGTAACATTTTTTTAATGAATAACTGTTAAAATAATTATAGAGCAAAGTTTCTAGTAGTGGTTTGAAGAGGGTTTAATGCATCTGATAAAGAAGTGAACAAATTAAATGTAAATTAACAAGATGTTTACTGTAAAATTATTTTTACTTCATGATCGATCTCTCAAAAGGTAAATCAGTTTTAAGAGACTCTAAAGTAGTTTTAAGTTTGCTAAAAATCTTATTTTATAGCCAAAACCATTCATTCTATTTTAACAGTTATGTCTACTCTACATAAATCTTTGGTATTTTAACTTATGACACTTGCAACAGGTTTTTACTTTTTACTATAAAACACTTCCAAAGGTATGAAGTATAGGTGGGCATTTAAACCAATAAACCCTGGGTAACTTCCAAATTTACTATCTTCTCGATACTAGGGATTGATACAAAATATATACTGGAATAGTTCTATCTTTTTTTATTTAATCCAAAATAATAATTTTTTTATCAAATTTGTGAAAAATATACGAAAACCGATGTGAGCTCTAGAAAAGTTTAAGGGGAACTAATGCTAGTGCAATAAGAAAGTGTAAGAAATGTCACCAGTCAGTCTTGCGGACAGACTGAGTCACAGTTGCTCGGTTCTTCCTCTATGTATAGAGACACGCGACACATGTGTGCTCATGCTAGCGGAACACATGTGCGTAGGCACATTAACAGCTTTCAGTCCTTACTCAATATTAAGAGAAACCGCAGCTACAACCGATCATTATCTGTTCACTTGCCTCACTTCCTCATAAAACCTATCTATCACAGTTTTGCTCAAGCTAGTACTTAAATTAAATTGCATTGAACAGTTTTAGTATGTGCCATTTTCTACCACTTAGGGTGATTTTGTTTCTTTCCTGATCAAAGATTTAACTAACAAAATGGCCACCATGTTCCACTCTTTACACAAAAATATTACACAGACACCAATTTTAAGCTGTTTTTGTTCAGAACAGTGGAATGTAAGCTACTTAACTTTGTGCTAGTCTAACATTGCAACCCCCGATACACTTGGTGATCTGATATGCTGGGATGAATGTGTCATCGAAAAATTTGTGTACAATAGAATCATTTTGTGTGTGTTTAACATCCAACTACCTTTGATTAAGATTTTTTATTGAAAATAATATCCCAAACTGATTAGTTAATGAATTTGGACCTGCAATAGTCGAAGAGTAGGCTTACATAGTTCATTTTCATTTGCTTTTATCAGGAGAAGTAGTTATTAATTTAGAGAAAGCACTCCTCGTCTGAGGTCCTATCATTATCTTTTTTCTAGATGAATGGACTTTCAGCTCAAGGTGGGATTTGAACCCTCAGTATTTTCACATAGATAAAATTCATTGATGATTAGCAAGAATTGAACCCACGGCTTCAGGATGTTATGTGTAGCACCACTATCTATCTCACCACTACACCAATTGCAAAATAATAAAATTGTATAAGTTGACTTTCCTCCTTATAGATTAATTTTAGTATTGAATTATTTTTGACATACCAGTGTTTTTGGATTCGTATTGTAAAATTAAAATTACGTGAATTCACTTTCTGCTTTACCTAATTATATAAGAAAACTTTGAGCATGTGTTCATTATACATTAAAATCATTTTTTTCACCAATTTCCAAATTCCTATGCCACTTACCAAAGTTCAAGCAACAGAGTACACTCATTAAGTGATGGATGTAACAGCCATGTAATCAGCTGTTAGAAGGGAAATGGGGAATCAGAGATAAAAGATAAGGGAAAGGCCAGTCAACCCAACCAACAGTGACTGGCCAAATGAACAAACACTGTTCAATTACACTTCCTAGTGGTCAGCGAACAGTTGAGTTGCAGTGAAGTAATCGAAGGTGGTGTCACTTTAATGGCTACTAAAGAGCTAACTTAATAAAATATTCATCAAAGTAGTGAAATACCTGCCACACAAAGATTGGGGGTTTCACAGGATTTTGAGGACCACACCAGATTCCCATGGATTCTTTGTGTGTTAAATATGGAGTAATTTTTGCAACATTTGTGTAGGGGCGGCAAATTTGGTGACGTTTACCTAGGTCTTCGTAAAAGAAGGTGGAATCCAGAGTTCGATTTGCGGCGGAACGGCGTTCCGGTACCTCTCTTTTGGAAGGATAAAAATATTGGCATAAATAAAATAGGTACTAATCACATAAAATAGGTTACTGTTCCTGCACCTCATTTTACAAATCTGGCACTGGTGGAATGTATAAAGCCTAGGTCTTCCTTAATACAATGGGGGTTTTCTCTGTAATGTAACTTTTTTAGATGTCCTACTTAATTTATTTCACTATCGAGTTGTCATTTTAAAGCTTATGATCTAGTGCAGTGATAAAAATGGTAACTAAATGATTCCTTTTAGGACTTTGCCCCCATTATAGCATTTGATTTATTTCTAGAGTTCGCTTTCTGCGGTTTTAATGGAAACACGTTCAGCTAATCCTTCAGTCAAGTGTTTAAATTACATTCAGACTGTAAAAAAGAGACAAAACAGTCCTATTAAAATGTGCAATCTGAGCACAGGTTCCCTCGTATTTACATATTACTACAAGACACACTGTTGTCAACTGGCAAAATCCAGTGAATTGTTTAATGTGCATGTGTTGAGCATCCTATAACCTCGCTTATCATGCTTTAAGTCTAAACAAAAAGACTTTGCACAGATCAGCATTAAAATATCTTGTACCTAGTAGTAGAATAATTTACTTTCTTGGTAAAACATTTAGAATCAGTTATGAAAATTGGAGGTACATCATAGAATGAGTTTTCAAAGGAATCGGGACTATCTGGGATCTGTAGACATGCTGTTTTATACAATAATATCTCACATTTACATGATACATCTTATTCTCTTGTTGGTTGTTTTAACACAGCTATCTTATCCGATCACTTAGTTCTTTGAGGGTTTTAAAATATAGCTTGTTTAGGTATAAAACATTTTTTTTTGCTCACCATCATCCCTCGCTCCGTACTCCTCATCCAGGTATTCGTCCAGCCGCTTGGTCTCCTGTATGATCCGGATCTCGTTCCAGTAGTCCTGGAAGTCTTGACCGGACTCTGCCTCCATTTCCTCCCCTCCGGGTGGATTCTTGCTCACTCTTGCAACATTCTGGAACAGGTAGAAATATGTGGTCAGTTAAATATTTCTCATAATCCATTTTTCACAACAGGTATAATAGTATATTTTTTCACTACTAGTCACAAAAGTGACCCTTTACATGCGAGTCGAAGACGAGCATGGGAAACACTATCTCGCCCCGAAATGAGGCTTTGGTGACGAGTATTGAACGATACTTTTTATCACAATGAAAAAAAAACTTCATCAAACTTTAAAATATATCTGATATTTCGTAATCTATTCACTTTTTCCAATCTAAACACAATACGTCTGTACAATGAATTTTAGTGTAAAATTCAGCTGATTGTAACTTAGTTGATGTCATGTAAAGTATGGTTTGTGTAGCGAAAGTAATATTTATGTCAGGAAAAGTCAGCTGATCACTAATTGTTTAAGGTGTACGGAAATTGAAGATTTTCGAAGATCTCAGCTGTATGGAAATGGGCTATTTTCGAATACAGAGTGATGAGAAGTTAATTTACTATTATATTGTATCACTCTTATAAACCAGCTGAGGACCAAGTTTAACTATTTTTTTTTTATTTTTTTTTTCTTGATATTTAACTATTTTTAAAACAATGTCAGTCAAATAAAACATCCTAATTACAAACAACAGCGTGTCCTCTGGTGTATAACCAAACAAATTGTAAAATATATTCAAAATATGAGCAAACAGTTTAATCAACATCGACAGACTTTTGTGTCACTAACAAGAAACACACAAAAACAGACTTTAGATTGATGATAAGTCTACGAGCACTATTCAAAGGCAAGGTATGGCCACCGAATGGAAAGTGGTAGTGATTTAAAGCTGTTTAAAGTTAAGTAGTCAGAAGTATAACCATTGCTTACATAACATAACAAAATATTGTTTCAATAAACCAGAGAATAAATATTTAGTTTAAAAAATACAGTATCGCAATGCATTGTTTTGATTAAGTTTGATTAATTTGAATGTAGATAATTTTGTAGGTATACAAGCAGAACCACAATAGGTACGAACTATAAGAGGTTTTTTATCTAAAGTTTTGTTATGCAATAGGATGTGGGTTTTTTGGAAATTAAAATTTGTAGAAAACATATTTTTGATAAGTTAATGCACCCTGCTAATGACTTATACAGCCAAACAAGTTCTCTCCAGCAAAGTCGTTAATTAATAGATGTAGATACCATGTCAATGGACTAAGGTGTTTGTGATAATATACTGGAAACCTTTATTTTATTTTATTTTGTGTCTAACTACGCTTAAAATTTATATTTATAGGTAATATATTCCGAGGTAAATAAATACTGAAGTATTGTACATATTGATGTGGTCTGTAGGAAATTCAAAATTTAACCAGACTTCTGTAGACACTGTTTAAAAAAAGGTTTAGCCTACTTCCAAAGTGATTCTAACAAAACAAATTCATGGGTATCTCTGAAATTTGTCAAACATTATATTTTTATTACTATAAACAACGGCATGGAATTTTGTAAACTAATAGTGATAAATTATATTTGTTTCATATCAGGTTTATTCTTGGAGCATTTCTAATAGCCTACTTTTGTCTGCAAATTATTTTAACTAGAGGAAACCCATAGAAAAACACAGATATTTAGTTAACTATTGTAATAAGGAAATCTAAATTAACTTTTGTTTACAAAAATATTCTCATGAAAATAATTATAATTTTTCATATATTTACCTCGACACTGCCACTATCCATTGCAACAACTTGTTACTCACAACTAAGGTATGGGAGACATGTCTACTAGATATAGATAAGCCTATGACACTTTTTTTCACAAAAACTAGGGATCAAGTTCCAAGTACTTCCCGCGTTTCACAATCACACAGCATCACCAGAAACAGACAATGTATGACTAAATACTCAAAACAAGTAAGAAATATCCTGTTATCAGAGAATGATAAGAACTTTACAGCCTTGCCTCAAGGCCGAGTCTGACTATTCAATAATGTTTGATAACCATTGTAAAATGAAATAAACTTTCAAATCATCTATCTATATCTATACTATTATAAAATTGAGGCGGTGTCTGTCTGTCTGGGCAGCTGTCACGACTAAAATACTAAACCGATAAAGCCAAAATTAAGCTCAAAGATTGTCTACATATCTTAGGAACGTCATAGGCCTATTCAGTTCCCTGAGTTCCTCTCGGGCTACACCCCTTGGATGTCCAAAGTTTTGAGGTGAGGTTTTAAAAAGTAAGTATTGGTCTCCATGGAAGCATGAGAAAATTCACAATGTTTACCTTTGTATTGACGTTTCAATGTAAACAAGCAGAACTGACAAATTGCTCATTTCACAATTTACTTCAGACAAATATACAAAGAAATTAAATATAATATTTTACACAACTATGTGGCAGGTTTATTTATTCTAAATTTATGTAATTGATTATGGAAAAAAGATGGCTTTTTGTTTATAAATTCAAACTACTTAATAAGTGTTTGGATTAGGCGGTATAGTACATCTTCCCGTTGCGAAGCATGGGTACAGCAGCTAGTTATACCTATTCCGCAAGTGTGATGTTTTTTTTTTTCAATTACTAAATTGAAATTATTGCTTTAGTCAACAAGCTTTGGCATAAACCGCTTATGATTGAGGTAGATTATTTAATCAGATATTTTGTGCATGTATCAGATAATTTGAAAATCTATTGTTTGGAAAGATATTGTAAACAATACTGACACAGCTTGTAGTGTGATTGTATCACAAATGCAACACATCTGTTGTAGACTTCTGTGGTTGTACCATAGATAAAACAAAACATACTTGTGTTGGTTTGTCTATGGTTGTACTATAAGCACCCTCGTCAAGGATTATAAGTACTGTAATACGATAAGAGGATTTGATGGTAAACGGTAAAGGATGGGGAGGTGGGGTAATTTATGTAGATAACATTTTGCAAATCAACTAATTGTTAAAGCGATAACGTCTTTTGCTAAAAGCATGCACATTGATTGGTAATTTTCCATATTCGTGAGAAAAGTAATTGTTTTTTTCTGTCACTATGTAATAACACAGTATTGATACATTGTCGATTTATGAAACGTTGTTCAAGAGTAGTTCTACTGTTCAACACTTAGTATTGCATTCAATTTTACTTTTAGTTTACAAATACAGTATATACCCTGCTATTTTTCATTGACTCAAATCGCACATCAGAAACAAATACACTTGGGTAGCCAGTTTTACACGAGGTGGCATGTACACTGGGGCGATGTAGCGATGTAGTAATGTAGTGATGTAGCGCCCACACCTGACCAGACACAGCACTTTCCCTGTGCTGTGGTCGTGGTCGAAGGGTCTGCGGTGTGGAGTTATGCCATACAACTGGGGGCGACACTTTCGCTATGTATGATTATGATAGGTAGGGAGTCATATTGCTTATATGTTGGAATTGGAAGAGAATCAGGTGTGTGACTTAGCCTTTATCTTTTAGAGTTAGTTGAAGTTAAAAATAACTGGACAGAGTACTACAATGATGGAAGTATTGAAATGTAATTTTCCTGAATGGTTCTCGATTCAAAAAGGCTATTATTTAAATCCCATTACTTGCTACTGCAACTTTTAAACAATCCGAGAAAAAAATTAAACTTTTTAGTATACAGAACAGTAGACAGCATCCATTTTAACCACTACCAAAATTTAAATAATGTATACTTGATACATTTTTATAGGCACAAATAAAACGTTTTCCACAATTCTGTTGTGATTTCTAAATGTAAAACCCGGATTTAAAAAAATGACCAGAGACTGTTATTAGATAAACCTACTGGCTATTTCATTTCTGTTATCCGGTTATAGCAATTGTTTGTCACTATGAGTTATGGACGGTTTCTTAAATCAAAAATTTGGAATGAATAATCAAGTATATTTATCATAACTAAACACCGACTCTCGCAAATCAATTTCCACACTTTCCAATACCAAGGTTATCAAATCGAGAGTTATGTACAGTAAGAAAATTGTGTGTTGAATAATGTTTACACTACAAATGCCTATAGCACCATCAGTTTTTTTTTTGTTTTTTTTATGTTTTATTGAACTGAGAGTAGCCAAAACTTGAAAGTATGAAGAAAAGATTTATTTTTTTTTTCATCTATGTGAAAATAAGCCCTATGAAACTATTAGATAAATGGTACTGTATTTAAAAAAAAAAAAAAAAAAATAGCTTTGTTTGGGATATGGATTTAAACTAAACATACAATAACACTGTTTACAATGATACAGTATTTGAATCATGGCTCTGATTCCACGTTTTTCATGGAACCATAGAGATGGATAATTACTACTCTATTACTATTTGGTATTGGCATATACTTTAGACACTGTAGTAGGTTGACATCTTACTATAAAATTTAAAGCCTCTTTTATGTGTTTCATGTCTAACAATAACAGTTGTACTGACTTATAATTGTTGGGTACATTTTACAAGTGCAATTGACTCTAAAATAAATCGTTGTTGGTTCTAATAGTTTTGAAGATATTACATTAACACAAATTAAACAGGCACTACTATTTAATCAAAACACACTACAATAACTGGATAGAATAGTGATTGTCTCCAGCTAACCCATACATATTACATCTACAAGTGAGTAGGTTCATCTTATAACTATGGTATCTCCACTAATGATACTCCACAAAACCAAATACACAATTATTAAAGCATAAAGGCCTTCTTACAATTTTGTATTGTGAATTTGGCACCAACAATACCCACATTTTACAAACACAACTATTTCACAAACATTTGTTAACTATTAGTAATGAATTCTATTTATCTCCTGAGTCATATTGAGGCTATGCGATGAGAAGGCCTATAGCCTATAATTACCGCATTAACGTTAACTAGCAGTTAGAAAGAAGGTCAGCTGTTTTATTAGAAATTAAAATACCGAACGCGTGCAATAATAGTGCACAAAGCGAATGCAATAAACGCGGAAGAGGCAAAGGTCGAAGGGCAGAGTTTTATTATCA